ACAGCTATATGTGAAAAATTGAAATTTGACCACCAACTCATACCATACACAAAAATAAACTCAAGATGGAGAAAAGACTTAAATATAAGTCATGACACCATAAAAGTCCTAGAGGAGAACATAGGCAGGAAACTGTCATCCCACGCAGCAATATTTTCACCGATATGTCCCCTAGAGCAAGGGACATAAAGGAAAGAATAAACAAATGGGACCTCATTAAAATAAGAAGCTTCTGCATGGCTAAATAAAACATCAGCAAAATGAAAATGGAACCAACCATATGGGAAAATATATTTGCCAATGATACCTCGGACAGGGGTTTGATCTCCAAAATATATAAAGAACTCACATGACTCCACTCCAGGAAGACAAATAACCCAACTAAAAATTGGGTGAAGGACCTGAACAGACACTTCTCCAAGGAGGACATTCACAGGGTCCAGAGACATTTGAAAGGATGTTCAGCATCACTAGCAATTTAAATGCAAATTAAATGCACAAATGCAAATTAAAACCACAATGAGATACCACTTCACACAGGTCAGAATGGCCATCATAAACAGATTAACAAACAACAACTGCTGGCGAGGCTGTGGAGAAAAGGGAACCCTAGTGCACTGTTGGTGGGAATGCAGACTGGTGCAGCCACTGTGGAAAACAGTTTGGAACTTCCTCAAAAAGCTAAAAATGGAACTGCCTTTTGACCCAGCGATTCCACTGCTGGGGTTATACCCTAAGAATCCTGAAACACCAATTCAAAAGAACCTACGCACCCCAATGTTCATAGCAGCACAATTTACAATAGCCAAGTGCTGGAAGTAACCTAAGTGCCCATCAATAAATGAGTGGATCAAAAAACTATGGTACATTTACACAATGGACTGCTATGCAGCAGAAAGAAAGAGCTACTACCCTTCACAACAGCATGGATGGAACTGGAGAGCATTATTTTAAGCAAAATAAGCCAGGGGATGAAAGACAAATACCATATGATCTCACCTATAATTGGAACCTAATCAGCACAACAAACAAACAAGCAAGAAAAATACAACCAGCAATATTGAAAGAAAAAAACAAACACAGTAACAAGAGGGGAAGGGAGGAGGGGCGTAACGGAGAAAAGAAGGGAAAGGGTCAATCAAGAAACCTGTATGAAGGACCCATGGACAAAGCCAAAGTGGAGAAGGACTGAGGGTGGGAGGTGGAGGTGAGTGGGGCAGGGGAAAGTGGTGGCGGGGAAATGGAGACAAATGTATTTGAAAGTGAGAAAGAAGGAAGGAAGGAAGGAAAGAAGAAAGGAAGAAAGGAAGAAAGGAAGAAAGAAAGAAAGAAAGAAAGAAAGAAGAAATAGATTAACAAAAAAAAATTCCTGGGGATAATTCTACTTGGTAATAGAGGATTGCTATTTTAATGTACTGGGGTTTGTTTATTTCTGTCTTTCCATTTAGCAGTCTTTAAGTGAACACGACTAGCAGGAAATGAGCCTTTCTGTAAGGAGATTTAAGGAAAATGTCTCTAGTGGGATAAATTTTATTCGCTATATGAGAGAAACCTGGAGGCTGGCCCCCAGCCTGCAGGCTCCGGGCAGCCCCTAAGGGACCAGACCCTACAGTGAACCCTGAGGGGATGGCCTCTGAGTGTCTTGTCTAGAGATGAGGGGCAGATCTCAGACTTCACCAGTGGAATTCTCTGGAGAGGGGTTCGGTTGGTGGTCTGATTTTATCTTTTATTGGTTGGGGGAATTCTGTGAAAAGAAACTGAATTCTGGATGCTTTTTTAAATTTAAAACTTTACATTTATTGGGGTGACATTGGTTAATAAAATTATATAGGTTTCAAGTATACAATTCTATAATAATCATCTTTATTTTTCACTCAAAGTCAAATCAGATGCCTTTCTAAAATGCAACCCTTGCTCATTTGGACCCCAGAATCATTCATTCGTTTGTTACTTATTTAATATTCACTGAGCATGTACTACAGGCGAAGGGCTAGCCTAGCTCTTTAAGCCTTCCCGCCCCCCGCCCCCCCCCCCCCCCCCCGCCTGCCCGCCCCCACCAAGAACCTTGCTGAGCAACTAGGGAGGGTAGGAGGAAAGGGAGGGGGCAGGGTTACATCCAAAGCTATAAAGGGTGACAAAAATTTTTCTCTTTGGGTGGCTTGTGATGAGCAATAAGTGAGGAGACTCCTAAAGCAGCCAGCATGGTGCTTGGCACACGGTCGAATGTCTGGATGCTGGGGGGACAGCTTTATGTGGTGCAGGGAGTCCCAGTGTTTTACACCCCCCACACTAGCATTTTTTGGAGGAGCATTTTAAGGGACTTAGAGACTCAAGACAACGTAAATGAGTCAGTCCTACTTCAATCAGTCACGGCGACAGCCTAACAAGGGCCACGAAGTATTCGCAGCGACCACCCAACTCTTCGGTCGGTCGCCTTCAGCCCGGTGGCAGCCTTGGCCCGGGCTCTCCTGTCCCTGAGGCGGCAACGCTCCTTCCTTGATTTCACCGTTTTTCTCCGGCCCCTGACTGGACACAAGTTCTAAGCCTCCTCTCCCAAGCGGCTTAGCTCACCATTCTCTCTGGCAGACGTTTCTGAAATTCTAAGTAGTTCTGAGAAATCCGTTTTAGCGAGAAAGAAATGTTACACCGACTCGACAGTCGCCCGTCCACCTGTGCCTTGGGGAGGCATTCCCTGCAGCAGCGCAACCGGTGAAAGTCCAGGCGGTAGAGCGGGCAGCAAGGAGACTGGGTTCCAGACTCCGCAAGCTGTGTAAGCTTGGGCCAATTCGTTACTTTTCTGAGCCTCAATTCTGTGAAATGGGGACACCCACAGGGTTGTGGTGAGGACTAACGACGTAAAAGGTGCAGAAGTGCCTATTTCACTTTTACTCACGGCTTAATAAACGTCGTGGGTCTTCTTGCTTGGGGTGCCATTCTGGGGCCGGCTGCCGTGTGTGTGTGAGTGTGCGCGCGTGTGTGTGCGCGCGCGTGCGCGCGTGCGTGTGTGTGTGTGTGTATGTATGTACACGAGCGCGCGCGCGCGGTGCTCTGGCTCGCGGGTGTGTTTCCCGGCGAAGGCGCGCGGGCGGCTGGATGTGTGTGATGGGCCTCCCTGGGAGTCTGTGGCCGCCGGCGCCAGGCTGAGAACGAGGCGTCCGCGCCCGCCGCGGCTGATCGGCAGCTCTGGGTGAATGAGCGCGCGTGGGGGAGTCGGGCACAGACGTGCGCGCCCGCCTGCCGGCCGGGGTGGGGGGCGGACCGCGGACCGCAGACCGCGGTGGGGTGGGAAGAGGAGGAGGGGAGAGGGAGGGAAGGGCGGGAGCGAGGGAAAGGGGGTGGGAGGGCAGTCCGAGCGCGGCTGCCGCGGAGCCCCGGCGCGGGCTGCTCAGCCGGGGAGCGAGGCTCTCAGCCAGGAGGCGGCGCCGCGGGGAGGGAGCGCGGCGCGGGGCTGGGCCGGAGCGCCCGCCTCGGGACAGCGCAGGGGGCCGCGGGTCGGGCCGGGCCAGACCCCTGGCAGCGCGTCGGCGAAGCCGCTGTTGCCCGGACGAGCCGAGGGGCGTCGGGTGCAACCGAGAGAACGCGCGAGATTCCGCGGATCATTGCCCAGCTGGGCGCCAGGGCCGCCGCGACCGCCCCTTCTCTGGAGACTTCGCAGAGGAGACCCGCCTCCGGGAGGGAGCGAGAGGAGCAGGTCGGCCAGTCTGTGCAGGGGGAGTGTGTGTGTGTGTGTGTGTGTGTGTGTGTGTGTGTGGGTGCGCGCGCGCGCGCGCGCTTGTGTGCGAGTGCACCGGCGCCTGCAGGGTGTGTGTGTATGGGGGTGTGTGTGGAGTGGGGGGGATGTTGTGTGAATGTGTAAGGGATCCGTAAGGGGTGTGTGAATGTGTGTAGGGATGTGCGCCTCTCAGTGTGACTGCACAGGCTGTGTGTCTGTGAGGTAGGTGTGTGTGTGGGTGTGTGTGTGAGACAGACCGTAGGCTGGGAAGCTCACAGAGCTTGGTCCGAGCGTATACACGAGGGAGGGGCTCAGCAGGACTGAATGTGTGTGCGCGCTTGTGTGCAGGGCTGTGTGAAGGGTGAGTAGGTGAGTGTGTCATGGGTGTTAGGTGTGGCTGTGTGTATGATGTAAGGGTGCCAGGTGCACGTGCGACTCTGGCTCACCCTCCCCCACTCCCACCAGATGTGTGTGCAGGGAGGGGCTTCTGGGGAGGGGGTAGGAGTCTCCTGCAGCAGCGCCCCTTGCCCAGCTTTCCTGCCTTGCCATCTTTCCCAGGAAGCCAAGCTGCCCCTCCCCCAAATACTCCCAGGGTTAAAGGGAAGGGAGCACGCCAAGCCCCAGGGAAGAGGGAGAGGCTGAAGGGACAGCTTCTGCCAGACCAGAAAGCTGGACTGCCCTCTCCATCTCTGCCAGATCACCCTGCCCTGGGCTTTGCCCCCCCCAGGGCCCTGTGCTCCCAGGTCTGAGTGAATAGAGGGTCGGCATTTTAGGTTGGGGCCCAGGGTGGGGGTGGGCATAGGTTGAGACTCATCCCTGAGGGTTAGCTTGTTCACAGTTGTATTACCAGAAGGGTGCTGGGCGCATAGCAGCCTCAATGCACATTTGAGGGTGGAAGGGAATGATAAAAGAGAGTGAGGGAAGGGATCTGAGTCTGAGAGTCAAGTCCACCCCATCTACTATCAGTCAAGGGTGAAAGCAGCTGGTTGCTGTCATACCCCAGTACCCAGACTGAGCAAGTGGGGGAGGCAGGGGTTTAAGGAGAGGGAAGCCTTAGGGAAACTGTCGGGGAGAGGTTTGTGCGGGGGCCTGAATGGAGGAGGGAGCTGGCAGCTCTTCCTGGGCAGGACCCTCTGCCTCCTGCCCCTGCCACCTGCTTCTCTGTGACCAGAAGCCTCTTTCTGAGGCCCTCTGTCCCAGGCAGCCAGGGCTCATGGTGCCTCTCCTCTCCCCAGGACCCTCGTGCTCAAAAGGTGCCGAAGAGTCCCCTGCCAGCCGAGGCCACCTGAGACCAAGTAGGGCCATGGCAGGGCATGGCTGTCTAGGTCTGGGGCTATTCCTTGGGGTCCTGCTTGCTGTTCCCGTAGGCCCCCAGCCTGCTTCCTCCATCCCAGGGGCCCCCCTTGCCACGTTGACCCCACCACCTCAGAGTGAGGCCTCTATGCTGTCTCTCAACCTGGGACTTAACTTCAAATTTCACCTTCGGGGACGGGCTGCCGCCTGGGGGAGCCCTGTCACGGAGACCCAGCCGCTCTCTCCTGGGCTGAGCCAGGAGCTGGAGGAAGAGGTGGCCAGAGGACTGAGGACCGACCCCCTCTGGGAACTGCTGGTGGGCTCCCTCGGAAACTCCCCCGCTGAGTGGGGCTCTGCTGAAGGCAGCCCTACTCCCTGGACCTCCTCCCTGCCTCCAGAATCCACATCCCCCCTCTCTGGGCCCACGGACCGGCCTACTGCTCCCTATCAGCCCAGGCTGGGCACTGTGACCTGGAATACTGCCCTGACAGCCACAGCACCATCGTCCAGTGCCCCCAGGCCCCATCAGACTGAGCTGGAACTGAAGTTTGACATGGCGCTGAGAGCAGGCGCAGCCCCCACACTCGGACATCGAACGTTGCCCCTGCTGCCCAGCCTGCGGGCCAGTCTGGCAGAGATTGCTGGGCGCTTGGGACCCTTTGGTGAGTACCCGCTCTTCCCTGAGGAGAACCCCTGCTGGGCTGCCTGGCAGGTAGGAGGAAGCTTCAGCCAGGGCTCCTTTTGCAGGGTTCTTTGGCACTACTCTGTCCCCACTCCGGAACTTCTCAGGCGCGAGCCTCCCAGGCCCAACAACATCCCCAAGCTCTGCCTCCAGAGTCTCGGATTCTCCAGGTGAGTGTTTATTTCATTGCAACAAACATTTACAGGATACCGCTACATGTCAGGCGCTGTACTAGGGGCCTAACCAGCACCTCCTTGTGCCCTTGACGCAGCGGGAGGTGTGCGTTGCTTCCTCCAGGCCCTGGGACATGGGCCACTGCTCCCAGGAGGAAATTCCCTCTTTGCCACACTGAGTCTGGCTTGGTCCCTGGAGCTTAGCTCCCGGTGGACACGTGGCTTTAACTCCTGGGACAGTGGCTCTCTTAGGGCAAGTTCTGGGGAAGGACAGGCTTTTCACCAAAAGCCCAGAGGCCAAGGCCAGCTGGTAAGATGGCACTGAAACCGCATGTGCTCCCTTTGCAGGGTTCTCTGGGACCACTCTGTCCATGCCCTCATCCTTCCTGGAGACAAAGCTCCCAAGCCCAGGCCCACTAGACCCGACTGCTTCCCTAAGCTCTGCCTCCATTGCAACAGCATTACTAGGTAAGTGTCCCATTTGTTTGGACTCGATAGTTATTTATTGAGCACTTACTACATGCTGGCCACTAATTGGCATTCTGGGACCCATTGTCATCATAATTATAATCACCATTCTCTTCATCATCACCATGGAGACACATATTAATTATATGAGAACAAGCGTTGCTGGGGATAGTCCCACACAGAGTTAAGCAAAGGTCCTTCGGGAGTTCTGCGATCACAGGCGGAGCAGGATGGAGACAGATGTATCAGGGGCAAGCAGACACACAGGAACGACTTCGCGATTTCCACAGCCTCAGCGCCAACCCTGCCCTGCACTGCAGTCTGCCTGGCCTGCCTCCCCGCCCCCGCTCAGACCTTGGGGCTCTCTCCTTTGCTGTCTGATTTGACATGACGTGCTGTCAGATATGGGCAGAGCTGGGCTCCTCACTGGGAAGACATTGAAGATCTTGAGCAGACAAATGCCATCCTCGCTCAAGAAAGCACATAGACGATCTGGCGGAGGAAAGACCAGGGGTTCCTTAATCTTGAGACTTGGCTTTAGATCCCAATTCACCTACTAACCAGCTTGGTAACATTGGGGCAGGTTATTTAGTGTTTCTGAGCCTTAATTTTTCTCATATATTGAGGGTTTAATAATAGTGCCTGTTTTGTTATTGTGAAGCTTCCAAATAATGTAAGCTCCTGGCATGAGGCTGAGCACAAAGCAGAAGCTCACTAAACAGTAGCTGTTAACCTTGCTTCTTCCCCCACTGCATCTCAAATATACTTTTAGACCCTGCCTCTCAGGCACCGCAACCCCGAGATGGGACGGGATAGCATATCCCCCACAGGACAGGAGGCACGTGGCCTGGGGAGAGGTTCTGGCGGGTGAGGCCAAGGGAGCCGTGGAGAGGGACCTCCAGGCCCATCTTCGCTTTGCAAAGGGTTTACTGTGCCTGTGAACCCTTTCAGCCACCCCACGTGAGGGACCACTTGTCTCTCACTTCTTGCGGCTCTAGATTTGACACAGCACCTGCCCCTGGCTCACACTGCATGGTCACTGCGCTCCCAGGCTCGTGGGGCAGGAGGCCGCTGTCTCCCCCGCCCCCCCAGTGCAGCCCGGTGTGTGGCAGTGGTGGAGCCGCTGTGGGGTTCGGGGTGGGCTCTGTGGCCGCAGGGGGAGGATGCTGGCTGGCAGTCTGTCAGTCTTGGCGACAGGCAGCGCTGGCCAGGCAGGTTTAATGAGTCTGGACAGTATCAGAGGCAGCCCAGCTCAGCGGCCCCGCCCTCCTCGCCCCTCCTCGCTGAGGGCTGCAGGAAACCAGCCTCTCCCTGACTGTTCCTCTTGGATAAACCCGAGAGGGCTACAGTCCTCTTGGAGAGAAGGCCAAGGGGCCTTCCTTGAGCCAGCAGCGTGTGTGGGGAGTGGTGTCAATCAGTTAGGGGACAAAGGCAGTCTCCCTGTTTCTCTAGGATCTTTCTAACCTAGGTATGGTTAACCTTTGACCCCAGGGCTTCTGCTCTCTTTCATTAGGTCCCCTTCACCTCACCTCGGACAGAGCTCATATCGGCCAGTATACACAGGAACAGTTGTACAGGTTGTTAACACATTGAAAGACTTTCATACCGTTTGCTAAGTGCCCATTGCCCTTAGCTCCTGAGCGCTCCCCTCCACTCTCTGCCCGCCCCGGCTGGCACCTGTGCCATTTCCGGTTGTTAAATATTTCAAATGTCAATTTGAAAGTTATCAATCACCCATAATCCTGGAGGTGGGGGCTGGGAGTGGGATGGGGCCAGGACACGGAACAGGCTGCCGCTTCTGGCGTCCAGAGCAGAGCCTGCGGTCCCCCAGCCCTTTGATCTGGGCAGCTGGTGGGTAATCAGGCCTGACTTTTCCATAAATCCTGCCAGCCCCTCTCTCCAGCTCCTCCCCAGAAAGCTCCGACCTCTCCAATTACTCACATTGACAGACCACCTCCTCCCTTGTCCCCGAGGTCAAGAGGGGCCACAGGGCCAGAGTGTGACCATCTTGTAGGGGAGGCCTGCTCAGGAGAGGGATCCTAGGAAGTCACCATCTTCTGGGCTCTTCTGGAGGAAACCGAGGGCTCCTTCTGGGGAAGCTTTGAAAGGGGAGACAGGGGCTGAGGTCAAGTGAACCCTTTTAAAGACAGAAGCTGAGTCTTCTTCACCTGTCCCCACCCACATGTGGCCCAGTTCTGGACACACAGGTCATGCCCTGCCCCCTGAGAGCAGTGTACCCCTCCTCTGACACCTGGGCTGTACCTATGCTTTGCCTATTTTCTGGTTTTTATTCCTTTTCTGGCTTCTTAGGAATATTGAAACTTGCTTTAGTTGTCATAGCGCTTTGGGACAGAGGTGAGAGACAGGGCTTCCTGTGGCCTTCGGCTAAGAAGCAGAGCAGATGTCTGAGAGCCACTCTTGTCTGCGCAGTGAGCAAGGAGAGGGCCTAGCGGGTGGCGGCTGGCTCAGGCTGTGAGGCCCCTGGGCACGGTCTTCCATGCCCCCTGCAGAGCCCACCATGGCCAAGGAAGAACCAGGCAAACTCATCCACTTTGCAGAAGAAGGGGGTTGGGCAAGGGCACCTGAGGGGACTAAAGGATGAGGACGAGGGCGGGAGCATATGCATTTGATCCCTCTAATATCAGACTGACGCCCACCGCTCATCTCTCTGCAGGCCGTCCCTTCCCAGCTGTGTGTCTTTACTCCTGGCTGTGTCTTCATTAGGTGTTCAGGGACGGCCAGTCCCTCTAAACAGTGTTCTTCAAATAGAGTTTCCAAAGGATGTGTCAATGTCACTCATTTGACTCATTGTTGATTTTCTAAGTAAGTTTAGCATGTGCTAAGGGACAACAGTCTTTTGTTAAATTAAGTACTAATTTGCGGCCAGAAATGGTCACAGTCTCACAAACTGTTGACGGGTGATAGACATTAGCCGATAATGATGACACCAATGACAGTCATATTTTGAATGCTTATTATGCACCAGGCACAAACAGCTTTGCGCACATTATCCATTTACCCTTGTAACAGCCTATGTGGTAGGCACGCTTCCCCGTTTCAGACTTGAATGCGATGCAGCGGGAACCCGGGCACATGCTGCCATTTGCAGCAGGCAGTGAGCTGTGGATATTTAATTTTTCGGCTGCTCCCTCTCTGCCCTCCACAGTGGCCTGATTCTGCCTTCCCCTCCTCTCTCGGTAGAGCCCCTCTCTGCCCTCCTCACTCCTTTTCCTTGTTCTCAAGGCTGCTCCGTTTTGCATGTCCCAGCAGGAGCAGGCACTGCCAGGGGTGGGGTGCTCCTGGGGTCTCCTTGTATCACCGGGCAGAGAGACATGGTTAGACGCGGCCAGACAGCTGGGGCTGGCGTCTGGTTGTCAGAAGACCCTCCCTCTCACTCTGCCTCTGCCTCCTGTGCACCTCCTGACCCCCACCAGGCTGCCCCCATCCCTCACCACCATCTTTCTACCTCCATCCCCTCCTGCGGCTACAGCTCTGCTAAGACTGCTGGGTGGAGGGGGGAGAGCTCTCCTCCCTTGCTCCTTGGCCGTGGGGAGAACGCTTGGGTCTAACTCCTTCTAACTCCTCTCTTGCTCCAGGAGAGGAGAATTAGGGATCTTACCCCCCTACCCTCTCTTACTTGACTTCTCTTTCCTTCAGGATGTGGGGAAGATGATGGAGCACAGGATGAGGCTGGGGGGCCTGAGTTAGTGAGCGCCAGGGCAACCCTTGAGGGGCCCACTCACTCAGATGGCATTTTATCCCACTATGATCTCTCCAGTTGGTCTTTCCTAGGAGTTCAAGGGTATCCTTGAGACCCAGGGCAGTTCACCTCAATGTCACCTTCTATAAAATGGGTTTAGAAGCAACGGGACATCTATATTAAGAGCCTTAGACCAGTTTGTGATTGAGTCAGAATGGGGATTGCAGCCACAGGCTGGCCAAGGTTCAGGGCGGAGGCAAGCAGGAGGGCTGGTAAATAGGAAGGGTGTCCCCCTCAGGGTGCTGGATGGGGACATGATTGTCTCACCTCTCCTCCTGCTGCATGTGTGTGTTCACATGCACAAGAGTGTGATCACGTGCATGCGCGCTCCCACGCATGCGCTTGTGTGTAGGGGCTATTCCTGAAGAGACAGGGAGAAGGGGAGGCAGTCGGATAGGCAGGGGGAGCTTCTCCAAGGTGGGAGCTGGGAGTTACAGCTGCAGAGCAAGAGGTAAGCAAACTATATTAGTAATAGGCTCTGGAATCGTGGAAAGGGGCTCAAACTGAGTCTCAGCTATGGATTCTAGTGACAGCTCTGCCATTTGTGACCTTGGACAAGTCATTTTGCTTCTCAGCAGACCCTTAATATCTTCATCTGGCAAATAAGAAGACTCATTTATTCACCCGCTCACTGCCAACTCTGTGCCAGTCACCATTTTAGGCACAGGGCTTCACATGTGAACAAAGCAAACCGAAGTTCTTGTTCTTATGAAGCTTCCTTTCTGGTGAAAGACCTGGCCTGGAGGGGCTTCCACAGTCCCTTCCAGTTGTAAAATTCTGGGACTTGTTCAGGAAAACCAGTAGAATCACAGAGTGAGGAAGGGGAATGAAGGAAGGAGGGAGCCGGAGGTGAAACTGCGTGGTGGAAAGCGATGAGGGCCGAAACGACTGCGTAAGGAGTTTGATGGGGGAGGGGAAGAGGGGTGGCCAGGAGGTGAGAGGTCAGCTGAGTGTCATATTTAAGACAAGTGTGTCCTGCATGCAACGAGGACTCTGGCGTACAGGCTACCGGCGGCGGGGAGAACAGAGTGGCAGGGTGAGCGCTGAACAGTTGTCTCAGACAAATTTTCTTTGACCACAGACGCCACCATCCCCACTTCGGGTCCAGATGACCCCTCTCCTGCCAGCCTTGGGAACCCTTCCGTGCAGCCAGAATGCGGTCCAGCGTCCTGCGGCGTTGGGGAATTACCTGAACGTGAGGGGCAGCCTCCTGCGGCCCCCCTGCCCCTCTTTTTCCTTACCCTGGAGGCCGACTGGGCAGAGGCCAGAGCTCGCTGGGGGTTGGCCTGGGAGGCCCATGTGTACGGCGTAGGCGCCCTCTTTGGCCTGGTGGCCCTGCTGGCGCTGCTGGCTCTGGCCCTCTTGCCCTGGCGCTGCCCGCCTGGCGCCCCCTGCCTGGCGCTGCTGGACGTGCTCCTGCTCTCCGCCGGGACCACGCGGGCTTTCCCGCTTTTCTACGACGCCTATGGGCACAGCGACCGGCTGCCCGCGCTCGCCTGGCTGCTACTGCAGGACCTTCCGTTGCCCTGCCTGGCCGCCGGCCTGGGCCTGGCCTGCCTGCTGCTGGCCCGGCCCCGCCCTCCGCGGTGTCCCGCAGGCCTCGCCGCGCTGCTGCTCCTGGGCCTGGCGCTGGCGGCCGCCGCCGCGCTCGGGAGCGCCGCCCACCGCCGGCTGAGGCCCCTGCGGCTTGCCTCCCGCGGGCTGCACGCCTTCCTCGCCGCCCTCCTGTCCGGGCTCCTCCTGGCGCTCTCCTGCTGGAGAGGTCGGCGCCGACGAGCCGGAGCTCCCCTGGGAGGGTCCGGCTTCAAGGGCGCCACCCCTCTCCCGCAGGCGCGCAGCCCCTTCGCCCCGCGGGATTCCTGGAGGCGCGCGGCGCGCACGGCCCCGGTAGCGGGAACCTTCGGGCTCCTGAGCGGAGCCCTGCAGGGCTACGAGGTGCTGCACGCGCTGGGTTACGGCGGCCAGCCTGGCCTGGAGGGGCCCTGGCCTTGGTGGGCCTTCCAGCTAGGCCTGCGTCTGGGCGAGGTGGGCGTCGCGCTCCCGTTGGCGCTGCTGGGCCTGTACCCTGCTCTCTGCAGCCGCCGCGTGCCGCCGCGCTGCTGGGCCAAACTCTTCCGCTTGTCTCCCGGCCACGCGGCTCCACTGCTGCCTGGACGCTGGGTCACTGGGCCCCCGGACAAGGAGCCTCTGGGTAGCGCCATCGCGCGTGGCGACGCGGAGCTGCTGCAGCTGTGCGCCTTGGCAGGGCCGGGCCCCGACCTGCTACTCCAGGGAGGCGCCTGCCGGGGCTTCGAGGGGGCAGCGGCCAACCCAGCCCCTTCCCCGGCCTCCTCCCCCTGCAGCGATTACACCGTGGATTTCCGCCCGCCCTCCCCGATCAACCTGAGGCGCAGCATCGAGGAGGCCCTGTGCAGCGAGGCCCTGCTCACTCCGGGCCTCTTTCAGGGCCCCGCCTTTGAGGAAGCCCTGCCTGGCCTCGGCCTCTACAGCACCCCGTCTCCTGGGGCAAAGACCAAGGCTGGGTTCAGTGGGCGGTCTGAGGAGGCCCCAGGTACCCCTGTGCCCCTGGAGCTTCCCTCTCCTGGGGCCTGGCCCGCGGGCAGTAGCGCATCCTCAGGCTCCCTCTGCGGACTCTCCCGGGACAGCTCGTCCATGCTACTCTGCTCCAGCCCAGAGAGGCCCCCGCGCTGTCCGCTGGTCTGCGTCCTCAGTCCCCCGCGGGCCTCGGGAAGTAGCCCTAGCCTCCCAGCCTCAGGATCCTACCAGGCCCTGTCCCCACCCTCTCACGATTCCCCAGAGCCTGCTTCTGAGCTGCAGGTCGAAGAGGCCTTGTTGCAGGAGCAATTCCTGGACGCCTGCCGACAGATCGACGAGCTGAGTGTGGGCAGCGACACCATAGACCTGTGAGGAGGCAGCCCAGTGGGCGCCTGCTCTGCCTGAGACCTGCGCACTGTAACCCTTCCCCAGTCTTGCCTGGCTCACACACCTCTCCCCGTCTCCTTTCCCCATCCAGGGGCTCCTGGGCGGGTGTTTTAGCAGCCAGGCTCTGTTGATTGGGAATGAGTGCCACCTTCTCTGGAGCCTTGGGTGCTGATGCCCTCAGCTGCAATCCTAGGCTGGCTGGGGTCCCTCTTTCCTTGGCTTTCACCAGCAATAAAGCTCCAAGGTGCTCCACTCCTGGCCACCACTCCCCACCCTGGTGCTGAGTGAGAGGAGCTATCCTCAGAAGACCTCGGGATGCCCCTTAGTCCCCATACTCACCTCTGTCGTGCCCAGGAATCCCATCCCTGCGTGAGGGAGACTTGCTGTTCTCCACATGACCCTTTCCTATAGAAGGGTCCATGGCCCATCTAGGAAACCCTACAGCTGTTGGGAGGGAGGTGAGTGCCATTAGAGTTAATTTATCAATAAAATATTTTCAGAGGAGAAAGTCTGACCTTCTTGGAAAAGCTTAGGTGAGGCCACAGAAGCTCTGGCTCTGCCAGAACCAGAAGAGACCTTCACTCTCAGCTGCAAGGAGTCTTGTCCTGTGGCTGGAAGGAGTGAAGGTCCTGGGAGCAGCCCCTTGATGACCCTTGGACTCTCTGGGAAGTGGCTTTTGCAGAGATGGAACATGGCCCTGAGAGGCGAGGCAGAAACTCTCCAGCCTTCGGTGGAAATGTCTGCAGTCCTAAGGGCCGGACTTCAGGTCACAGGTGGGCAGGGGGCGAGGGACCAGTTAGTGGTAAAGTTCTTCATGGAAATGTTGATACACATATCAAGGGCTTGACCACTTGAGCTGGGAGCCCCAGCAGTGTCTCTGCCACATTCCCAGAGGAATTCACGCCTGCTCCACCTACCGGCAGGGCCCCTTCAAGGTTAGACTTGCAACCCCTTACCTTCCACAGGTGCAGATCCTCCTGGAAGGAAGCCAATCTTCCCCAAACCCCAGCCTCATCCTACCTACCAAAGCATAACTCACAGCGCGGAGACCCATGAATACATCCACATCTGCAGCACTCTGGAACCCCCCTGCCTTGTCCAGAGTGTTTGGCCCTGAGCTCTGTAGTGTACACTTATCATTTGGTTAAAATGCAGCAAGTTCAGAGTAGCACTAAAAGAGGGTCATAGATTAGGTTTGAAAACGAAAATCTGACAGTGGTTTGGCAGATGTCCTGCACATTACAGAGAGACCTACAGGGGAACGCATACTAAGCTTGAAGAGGAAAAACAGAAACTGGAGTGGTTTTTCTTCCAATTCTGTCTATCAGCTGGTGGGGATTTGAGAAGGGAGGGGAGGGGGCCAAGGGGGAAGCAGGCAGGGAGACGGGGTCCAGTGCACCAGTGGGAGAATTGAAGCCCTGCTCTCCTTGCACATGGAGATCCGTTCTGGCTGAGAGGAGGGTTCAGGGCCGGGAATCTCAGAAGGCAGAGAGGAGTCCCTGATATTTGGGGGGCAGGGAGTGAGGAGTCTGTATCAGGGAAGAAACTGAGAGGAGGGCGGGGCAGGCCTGGCCGAGGGATGGGACTGGCGTGGTTCCGACGACGTCTCTTCCATCACCTGGCTCTGCTTGGCTCAGAAATTCTTGCTGCATCGCCACTCTGGGCTGAGGCCCAGAGAACTGCCAGCCTCCTAATTACAGGCATTTCTCATTGGTGTCCTAGTGGCTGTAGCGCCCTAGCATCAGAGCTGCTTCGTGCCATGGAAGGAGCGCTTGCTGTTTGCCTTTGCCCATGCTCAACTTCTCTCTGCTGTCTCTTCCTCACCTTACTCCTTGCCAGCTGCTCTTTCACTGTCCCCATGAAGGGTTCTTGGGTTCATGCACACACCTCCTGATAAAGCAATCCAAGCCTCGTATAACCCAATCAGTCTATCTGCTTCTCTCTCTCTCTTTCTCTCTCTCTCACACACACACACACACACAGCTTTTTTGTCTGGAAGCTCTGAACAGGGCTGGTGAGATGGAGTAGGTAGGGAGGTAGGGGAATACAACTGGTTGTTCACCAGCTCCTTTTCCAAATAATTATCTTTGACTTTATAAAGAGGTTGAGACTTTGATGAGACAGCCCTTCCCTTTTGTCTCATAACTCAGCCCTTACCTAAAGCAGGTTTTCCACAGGAGTCTCGGTAATTCTGTTGCATACATGCGCCCTTCAGTTCCAATTCTTAGTACTATAGGGAACTGAGAGACAAACAGCTTCATTCATTCAATTTCTGTAAAATATTTTATTGAATACTTACAATGTGTTAGGTGCTGGGGCCAGAGAGATGAACAAGGTAATGCCAGCCCCGAACTTAAAAAGTTGAAGGTCTTTTGGGGAAGGCAGACTGTACAGAGTCATTCTTAAAATTATTACAATAGAACAAGTAGCTAATAACAGTTGTGAGAAGTGCTTAGAGCAAGTGTGCAATGATATAAGAAGGTTTGGTTTGCAAGGGGGAGCAGAGCCAGAGGGGTGGGATTTGGGAGAGGTTGTCTGAGAGCAGCGCAGGCCCCTCACGCTTCCTTTCCCGGCTCCTGCACAGTGATGGATGAGAGAGAGGCCAGTAGTTTATTTCCCCTGGCAGCCGCGTTGCTGGTGTGGTGCAAGGTACCACGACTCCTGCTATTTAATAAAGAACCCTGCGTGTGTCCTGGGTAGATGGATGAGCAAATATTCCTGATCGAAGAACCATGTGGCGTTCCTGATATGCATGGACAGGAGGGGATGGGGCTGAGGCTGAGTCTGGGAGACTGGGACGGGGAGCCAGGTCTGAAATTTCGGAAGTGTAAAAAGTGTCAGCTTCCTTGTTATCCTCCCCTGGGACCCAAAATTTCTCCACACTGTGGGTGACTGCTGCCCCCTGATGGGCACAGGGGCACAATATCATTTTGTCCCTTAAGGGAGGTTTGGGTCCTAAGTACTTAAAACTTGGCATGGTAGGGGGTGCCCTAAAGGAATGTTGGAACAGCCTCCTCGGGGTTCTTTTCTTGGTGTGCACTGCAGCCAGGACGGGGAAGGCCGCCCCATAGCTGGGGCCCTGAAGCTTGCAATTTAATCTATGGGGATGGAATTTTGATTGCTAAAGTGGTGAGGGGGCAGAAGAGGAGGGGAAAAAAAGGAAGGAATGTGGAATTTCAATCCAACTTTATTTGAAGGACCCTCCCATTTCCTTTGTCTATTTCTCTCTCTTTATCCTGGATAGGATTAACCCTACAGCCTTAAAAATCTGTTTGGTATTTCAGTACTTTCTCTCCTGAGTTATGTGTTTCAGAATATCTGTGGCATTTTCTTTTAAGTGTATATTTATTACTTACTTGAAGCTAGGGCTTCATAAATCTGATGCTGGGTTCTTCCTTTCCCCCCATTACTATCAACCAGTCATCCATCCATCCAGAATTTATTGCAAGTAAATGGGTAAGAGGAAATTTATTTTTCACTGTACCATTTGTACATTTTGAATTTTCACTATCATATGTTCAGGTCATACCATTTAAAAATGATTCTTAAAAAATGCACTGGGTACTTTTTCAGCTGGATATTCTGCAGGGTGCTGCAGTCTTGCACTCAGTTTCTGAGCCTAATGGGATGGCAAACATTCTCTGTGTTTCATGATCCAGGAGCACCCAGATCTCCTGACCACTGAGATTCCCTTAGCCTTGTGCCTGTCTGGTATGACTTGAGAGACCTTCCCCTGTCTCTGGGAGAACCTAGGTTACAGGTGTCGGTCTACTCACACTGACTGTATTCTCCATGAGGGCAGGGATCCTGTCTTTTTCACCAATTTTATCCCTAGAGCCTAGCACATTGTAGGAACTCAGTAAATATTTATTGAAAGAATGTTTGTGTACTATATATGTGTACTTTAGCAGCTGTAATTTGCGAACCGTTATAGGCACAGTTTATAGTTATCTGTTACAGTGTGACAGATGTCTACCTTCTCCGAAAACATGAGAATTGTTTGACGTTTGTGATGTACTTGTGTGTATGTGCATTCTGGCCCCATTTTATTTTTTAAAAAATATTTTATTTATTTATTTTTAGAGAGAGGGAAAGGGAGGGAGAAGGAGAAGAAACATCCATGTGAGAGAGAAACATCAGTTGGTTGCCTCTGGCAACCCGAAACCCAGGCTTGTGCGCTGACTGGCAATAAAACCTGCGATACTTCCGTTCGCAAGGCGGTTCTCAATCCACTGAGGCACGCCAGCTAGGGCTAGAAACTAATATTTATTTAAACATCCATTATGTGTCAGATCCTAGGTTAGGCCGCGAGCAAAAACGACTTATGCCTGCTCTGGTAAATTTGGGATCAATGTACTGGACATGTGATTTTTAAGCAAGGGTGGAAAGTAGCTAAGCCTTGGCAGGAGGCGGATGGGCGTGGGTGGAGTGGCGCTTGGACGAGGGGTGGAGACCAGTTCAAGAAGCTCCGCCCCCGAGCTACCTCTCCCCGCCCCCCCACCCGTTCCGGAACGTGTTTTCCCCTCCCACTACTTTTTCCTTCGGACTCTTTTGAGTGAAGAGCATTTCCGGAATCTCTCGGCTGCTTGGCGTGGTGTCCGTGCGGAAGCGTGCTCCTTGATTTGCGTGCTTCTGCCTGGTTCATTCGCGTTCCCGCGAGCTTGTTTCCTGGCTTCATGGCCGGGCTCACCCTGTTCGTGGGCCGCCTCCCTCCTTCGGCCCGCAGTGAGCAGCTGGAGGAGCTGTTCAGTCAGGTGGGGCCGGTGAGGCAGTGCTTCGTGGTGACTGAGAAAGGTAGGGGGCGGGGCGGTCGAGGGTTGGGCCGGGGTTCGTGGGAGCGGGACAGGGTCGGGGGGCGGTCGTGAGACCACCCTCATGAACTCCAGCCTACCAGAATTCTTTACTTGCTCCTAAGAGAAGGGCCTGGGAATTGAGTTTCTTTTACAAGCTGGCTCTGCCCTAAATGAGTCCAAAAAGATCTTCTGTTTCTGGAAGTCAAAGCGCTTTCCGTTTATTATGCACGCTCACATACAAGATCTTCCTGGTAACTGAAAATAGCAACCTTTCAGTAAAACATCGGTAAGGCTTACTGAGAGGCAGCTGATTGCCACGCACGGTGCTGAGTGCCATACGTGTTATCTCATTTAATTGTCTCAGCGTTCTTGTTAGGTGGAGAGTCCTAGCCCCATTTTACAGACGAGGAATCTAGGGCTTAGGGAAATTTGGTAATTTAGCTGTAAAGTTTGTGCAGCTAGTAAGTAGCAGACCCAGAATTTGATCACCAGACCCGGAGTTCTTAACCATTATGTTATTCATTTACTCAGTTATTTATAAATATTTATTGAATGCCTACTGTGTGCCAGGCAGTGTTGTAAGGTCCTGGGGATACAGCAGTGCACAAAACCAAACCTTGCTCTTATATATGCTTTAGAGATGGGGAAAACAAGCAATAAACAAATAAGCAAAATATGTAGTGATAATGGTGGTAAATACTAAGGGAAAAATAAGCCAGGGAAGAAGGATAGGGAGTGTGTGTGTGTGTGTGTGTGTGTGTATTGTGTTAGTAACAGAAGGACATGTGTGCGCATGTGTATGTGTGTTTGGGGTGTGTATAAGGTGTGCAGAGTAGCCAGGGAAGGCCTGGAGGTGAGGGAGTGAACACGTATCTTTCAGTGGGGAGGAGCAGTCTAGGCAGAGGAAACTTAAAGCTCAATGATACTGAAGGGGACTGTGCCTTGTATGTTGGAGAAAGAGCATGGAGACAGGGGCACTTGAGTGAAAGGAAGAGAATTAGGAGATAATATCTGGCTATCGGATCATGTAGGACCTTACAGGACATTGCAAGGACTTTGGCTTTTACTCTGAGATGGGAAGCTACTGGCTTTGAGCAGGGAGTAGTAAATACAATCTCGCTTACATTTTGCAAGATGCTGTCAGGCTCTTGGGTTGAGAATAGGCTGTTGGAGAATAGGACAGAAGCAGGGAGACCTCTTGCCGTAATCCAGGTGCGAGATCATGGTGTTGGACCAGAATGGTAGCAATGGGTGGTAGAAAGTGATTGGAATGTGGATATTTTGAAGTTAAAACTGAGGGCCTTTGCTGATGGGTCGGGTGTGGGGTATGAGGAAAAAAGGAGTCCGAGTCAAGTCTGAGTCCCAGGTTTTTGGCTTGAGCCACTCGGAGATGTGTACTGCCTTGTGGAACCCCGCTGTATGCTTCATATTCTGTTTGATGCTCATCACATCACTGTGAGGGAGGGTTGGCGTGTATTGGAATAAGGATGAATTTTTAGGGTTTTACTTGTAAAAGCATTCCTTCCCCTTCCCTGGACTTCAAGGGATACTTGAGATAGGCACCTGATGTTACCCAGAACACACGTTTAGTTCCCTGCTAAGTCATCAGGCTCTCTCTCTCTCGGTGTCCTTTGCCTCTCAACAGACACCTGGTGGGCACTGGCATCCTGTGCCCCCTGCCACCAGTAGTATCAGAGTAGGTGAGTCGGCAGGCTAACAGTGTGCTAACAGTCACTCCATCCTTAGCTGCTATTGTGTTAGTAACAGAAGTTAGAGTAGGATTGTCAACATGGCTCTGATTGCTATATGAACTGTAACACCTTCCTGGCTCTTTGTCCTCCTAAGTGTAGGTGAGGTTGAATGAGAGAATGAGAGTGCTGTATAGCAATTTTTCTTAAATTGCAGATCAGTACCCATTAGTGAGTCTTGAGTAGGATTTTTAAGTAGAAGAAATATATCTGTATATGGTAAAGCATATGTATTCGTAACATTTTCTTTTGGTTTTTTATAAAGAATATATATGTGTACTGGGTTCTGCCATGACTTACTTTCATTACAGTGGGTTGTCAAAAACAATTTAAGAAACATTATGGTGCAGGATAGTTGTGTTTCAGGGAAGAACAGGCTATTGAGTGGGAATTCTTTGGGTCCCCAGAATATAGGCTATGTGTAACCTTACCTTTTCTATCTTGTGTATGTGGTCTAAATTTTTAAAGAAACTCTTATCCTGGCTATTGTCCTTAGTTTGGCTCAAAAAAGCTCATAAAAAATTTTAAAAATGAAAGAAAAAAACTATATTTTTCTGTTCACGCAGCCTAGATGTATTGAGGAGAGTGCCTCACCTAGTGGGAAAGGAGAGGGGGGTGTGGAATGAAGTCTTACTCTGTTTTGGTAACTTGGGCATGCCACTTAACCTCTTTAAGATGGGACTGAGTTCACAGAATTGTTGTGAGGATTCAAGTAAACATGTGGGTGTTTTGTGCAGACATAAACAACGCATGGCGTTTATTGTGAGGACATGTTTTTATTTTGGTGCTGAACTCCTCTGGGTTTCAGCTGCTTTGTTTTGGTTGTACTGAGCAGGAAGAGCCCTGATTTTTCTTGGTCTTATTTTCTGAAAGGTGAGCGCGCAGGCTTTTGTGAGAAATTGCTCCTGGAGAAAAGGACCGATCTCCACATCACAGTGTACATTCCTCGTTCCAAGGGTCATCTTTAACCAGTTTAAGTGGTTCAGTGTCCCGTATGTGAGAGCTTGTAACTGAAGCAGGTTCAAGTGTAGTTGAAAAAGAAGCAGAACACGTGAGCCGTGTTTCTTGGGGTAGTAGACAGACTACTTGGTCTGCCTTTTTCCTTTTTGATGCAGTAAATTACTTAAAATTTTACTACCGAAAAATGTTAAATGAAAAACGTACCAAAAAAAGCAAAGGTGGGTTACAGTTTTTATTTTGTAACTATTCATTTTCTTGGTCCTAATATTCTTTTCTGTGGTCCTTCTATTGATGGAGTCGCATGGAAAGAGTGTGAGGCTGTAATGAAGAATTCAGGTGCTGATTCCTGGGGGACATTAACCAATTCATTTGCTTTCCTCTATCTCAAATGATTCATTTGGAAACAAAGGATGATAATATTTCCTTTACTTACATTAGTGTGTTCTGAAGATAAGGTGAGATAAGAAATTTATAGCTGCTTTGGAAAGGTTTCATTTGCTCTTGGTCACTAAGGGTTGGTAACCATGGTGTTTACAGGTGCCTGAAGCACGGTTTATTGTTTGAGGTTCTTTGGTCAGGGCCTCGCTCCGCCATCATTGCTGATCTCTTGTGAGGAGGAGCTGCATCATTGCATGTAATTTCCAAAGCTGCCAAATTTGCCGTTCCTACCCTCTCTGGCGATGTTCCCTTATATTTGACGTGGAGGTCTTTTTTAGGGGTATAAATTTCATCATGGATCTCCGTAGTCTTGAGATTGTCAGGAAAAGAGGAGGAAGTGGAGCCAACAGTTGAAGACACCAAATGAGAAGAGGAAGCCTAAAAAGTTCTGAGCAAAGTGGCAAAGGGGCCACCGATGTCAGCCTGTTTCTATCCCTCCTGAGGATTTTGACAAACTGATGATAGGATGGCCTGGCAGTGTGTCTGCTAGTCTGGGGCTTTGAGAATTGCCTGGTTTAGGGCTCTCGGCTGATGGTTCTCTGTCCCCCACCCACTCCCTGCCCAGGGAAGAAGGCATGCCGAGGCTTTGGCTATGTCACGTTTTCTATGCCAGAAGATGTTCAGAAGGCCCTTAAGGAGATCACCACCTTTGAGGGCCACAAGATCAACGTGAGTGTTGCCAAGAAAAAACTGAGGAACAAAACCAAGGAAAAAGGAGGAAAGGGTGAGTTTCCAGTAACCAAAGAGAGTTTTCTCCCTGGGTGAGGAGGAGGTGGAGAGGTGCAGTGGGGGTGGAGGGAGCTTCTAAATTTAAAGTTTCCTTAATTTGCTTTTGATATCCAAAACCATTCAATATATTTGGTTACTCATTTTAGTCTTTTGTTTACTTCTAAGTCTGAAAAATCCTGTGGTCCTGGCTGTTGCCATAGTGAACCCTGTGGTAAATGCCATCTGTTGTTAGTAGCTTGTTTCCTGTGATGTTCTGGGCCTAGAGGTGGGTGGTTTTGGAACACAGGCTTAGTCCATTCCCTCTTATTTTTCTAGAAAATTCAGAGTCCCCAAAGAAGGAGCAGAAGCCTGAAAAAGCCAAAGTAGCAGATAAGAAAGCCAGATTAATTATTCGGAATCTGAGCTTTAAGGTGAGTGATGGAATGCAAATGCTGCATGCGCTCAAAGCTTTTGGTGGAACTCCTTGCCAAGATGCTGCACAGGACGTAATGCGTTTTGGGAATGAACCTTATTCTTGTTGAATTCAGAAAATGGCCTGTATACATAAGAATTTATTAACACAACAGGATGCCTTCTTGAGAACAGCCCTCAAAGAGGGGAGGAAAAGCCCTCTGCTATATGTCCTTTTTGCTTTGTAGACACAAAGCAAGATGTCTTCTGTTTAGAAATGTTTTTCCTAGTTTCAAAAGTAAAAAAGGAGTAAAAATATTCAAATTCTTATTAACAAACTAACGGAGTAATTAGTGTTTCATGTTTATTTGCTGGGATAATTTTTTTCTTTCTTTACTTTTGTCCTCAGTGTTCAGAAGATGACTTGAAGACAATATTTGCTCAATATGGAGCTGTCCTGGAAGTTAACATCCCTAGGAAACCAGGTACTAGCAGACCTTCATTTGGTGTGGGTTAGATCAATACTATTTAACGTAATGTTTTTTTTCCATATCACCCTTGAACTAAGCGCTTAGATCTAGAACTGCAGCTGGATGGAGGTGGGGAGAATGAGAGACATCTGTTAATAGTGTCAACAGTAAAAACTTAAAAAGAACTAGAAATACAAGGTTCGTATCACACTCTTTGTGAGCCCCAGATGTCGTGATGTATATAAAATATTAGGCACAGTGCTTGACAAGTAACAAATACTCATGTTATAGTGCTGGTGGTATTTGCGGTTAGATATTTTTAGTTTAGATATGCCCTGATGGTATTTTTAGTTAAATCAGAACAAGTTTTAGAAGACAAGTTACAGTTTGAGAAAGTGAACTGTCTCTCTGAGCCCAAGACAGGGTATCCTCAGCGGGAGCATGTAAGCTTTGGCTAAGAGGGTGGCTGGTTGGCAGGGTTTGGGCCATCTTGTCACCTGGGTTGCTGTAGTTACCTTCTTAGGTCTCTTGGCTGACCCCCCGCCCCCCGCCCCGTCCCGGCTGCTTCTAACATCTTTGTACATTTGCACACAGATGGAAAGATGCGTGGTTTTGCTTTTGTTCAGTTCAAAAACCTCCTAGAAGCAGGAAAGGCTCTCAAAAATATGAACATGAAAGAGATAAAGGGTGAGTTTTCTATACCCATGCAATTGACTCAGGTATTTCTGGTGTTTGGGTGAATTAGCACAGTAACCAAGTTTCTACATTTTCAAAAGGTATTTGCATTGTTGAGAGTCTCACTGCTAATATAGAAGCTATTTTGGTGATGTATTTCTAACACTTGATCTTAGGGTTAAACTCAGAGGAACTTGTTTCATTGTTCTCTTTTCTTTATTTGATGATGAGTGTTCTTTTAAATCCCTAATGAAAAAATATTCCAGAAATAATCACTGATCGATGTAGGTTGCTGTCTAGGGCATGTGGGATTTGCAGGTCTTTCCCTCTTAGTTATAAGCTTTATTCTGCATCTGCGGGCAATTAAACTGACAGTGAGGCTACTCTGGGTATTGATTTACCAGGTACTAAAAAAAGGATTGGCTTAGAGACCGTCTAACCTCTGAGTATGGCGCATATTATTCTAGTATACCTGTTTTGCCTCTTGCTGGTCTAACTGGAAACTTGTTGATCTAAGTGGAAGCACTGGTATAATTATTTTTTAAAATTCTATCTTATCCCAGGTGTGGCTGTGTAGAAAGACAAAATTTCTGTTCATTGATAAAAAGGTTAAGGTTTAAAAAGAATAGACAGCTACTTAAAGTTTTATTTTATTTTTTAAAAATTTTATTTATTTATTTTTAGAGAAAGGGGAAGGGGAGAGGGAGAAAGAGGGAGAGAAACATCGATGTGTGAGAGATATATTGATCTGTTTCCTCTTGCACGCCCCCAACCGCAACCCAGGTATGTGCCCTGACTGGGAATCGAACCTGCAACCTTTTGGTTTGTAGACCAGCACTCAGTCCGCTGAGCCACACCAGCCAGGGCTCGCAGTTTTATTTTAGGAACACCATCTTCTAAATTGGCAGTAAATGTTTTTTCCTTTTATTCTTTACCGTCTCTTTGATGAATAACAAGTGATTTACAGGAGATAGAAATGTTAAAAAGATGTTACTTTTCTGTCTAACAGGGCGGACAATAGCTGTGGATTGGGCTGTGGCAAAAGACAAATACAAAAATACACAGTCTGCCTCTGCCCCAGGTAAGATGTGGTGCTAGGTAGGAGGGGTTGTATGTTTTGGGATGAGTGTGAAAAAGGCTCTACTATAAAAGTATAAGGAAACCTGCTGTCGGTGGGAATATTGGGCTGAACATACAAAAGCATAAGATTATTACCCCCTCTCCCCCAAATGATACTGAGGAGTAAGAAAAACTTTGAATTCCTACTGACTCAGAAACCCTGAGCTCTTTGTCAATTCCTATTGTTCCGTCTGGCGACCTGGTCCCACCCCGCACTCTAAGCCCACTCCTGCGTGTGGGTGTGAGTGAGGAGTGGGCCTGAGTTCGTTGTTCCTGTACTTGCTGTCCTTTCCCAGCTTTTCATAATAAGGAATGATGGGACGTTAAGAATAGGGAAACTTAAAGTTTGCATTTTATTTAGAAAATAATTGGCTTTTAGGCTACCAGGAGTTCAAAGAGAACCCCCCGAGATTAAAGTTCATGGCTGGGCTCCAGCGTGTGCACTGTGTCGGCTGCCGTGCGCGGTGGTAGGCTCCTTGTGGAGGCTCGGTGCTGCTCCTCTCATCCCGAGCCAGATCACAGTCAGGCTTTTGATGAATGAATGGCACCGACTCCAAGGCAATCTCAATGATGAGGGGCTTTTGTTATTGCTTATTTTTTGGTTTTCTTTTTTCATACTTTCTTTTATTCTATTCAGTTGGAAAAGTACATGAGATTCTCTAAAACTAAAGAAACTAGGAACTTGAGGGTATTAGTGACTGTTGTTAAAATAACCTTCTTTAGATACTGAATTAATTCCTAACTTTCTTTACCTCTCTGTGTAGGTGAGGAGAAGAGACCTGAACCTCAACATCAGAAATTAGGTAAAGAGAATGGCAGGAAAGAAGAGGGCAGGGGAGAAGAAGAGGATGATGATGATGGTGATATGGAAGAAGAGGAGGAGGAGGAGGAGGATCGTGATAGTGATAATGAAGAGGTGGAGAAGAATAAACAATCAAAGGTGACCAAGCCTGTGGAAATTCATAAGAGGTAAGCAACTCAGCTTGTTCTGAGACAAGAGAGGAGGATTCAGGATTGTCTGTGAGGGCCATTCCTGCCCCATCGTTGCAGAATTGCCGTGTGTCATCAAGGGGGACAGCCCTTCCTGCCCACCAGGTCCTTAGTCCTGAATGAACCCTGCCATTGCAGAGTCACCAAGAGAGCAGCGCCCGCAAAAAGCAGTGAAGAGGATCAGTCCGAGGAGGACAGCGACCTGGAGGAAAGTGACAGAGGTGATAGCGGAGAGGAACTGGGTCAGAGCGATGCCGACACTGAAGAGCGGGAGGATGAAGGTTTGCCTGGGATCTTTAAGTGAATGCTGAGCAATGTGCGTCAGTGCAGCGCAGGCCTCTTTAAATAGAGCCCTGAGGTGTTCTGTCAAATTGAGGTTGAAATGCTGAAGGTGAAAACTTTGTATTCCTTCTGAAGAGTTTTCTGTTTTATTTTTAAAATGAATTCAGAGTGGTGCTGGAGGGTGACTAGTTCTAGGGAATTTAAAATGTCGCTTAATGCTGCGGCACTGCCTCTCGCTTGATTGTCCAAGTTGGCTGACTAACTGGATACACAGGGGACTGCATCTAAGATGAAGGTGGATTTTAAACAATTCTTTTGAGTTGAGATGGGGATGAAGGACCTCTTGGGGCAAACCCTGTTGCTGTGTTTATCAAAAAAGTTGAGTAAACTCAATGCATTTATTGAGGGAGGAAGGTCATTACAGAATGAAGAGTGGCCAATAGCTGGTCCTTTAGTTTGCCGGGATGGAGGTTTTTATTTACTTGCCAGGTCATTCCCTTCTGCTTCCTTTTCTGTAAATCTGGCATTTTGGTTGGCCCATTTAAGAAACCTGAAGAAATAAGCTTTTTCCATGAGGAGAGAATAGTAGATACCTTACAATCAAAGAAACTTTTATACTGAAGGGACTATGAGACCTTGCATTCTACAACCAGATTCAGCTGTCTATTACCATCCTTTCCCTTGAAAAAATTATAGGACTGGTGCATAATAATGAGAGAATATTAATAAAAAAATACCCTGCGAAAGAGTATAATATAGCAAGTAAAACTTCCTCACCAATCCCCCAAGGTCCCCCAAAGTAACCACTGTTGTTTCTTATCTTTCCAGAAAGTTTCTGTGTATATATAAGCATGTATATCTATTCTTAAAAACAGTGAGTCTTCGTTATGGCTAGATCCTCAGCCACTTAGGGCCCCTTCCCAGATAGGACCATTGTTACACGTTTTTGGTGAATCTAAAAGTAATTAATACCTTTAAGGGTAGACACACACACACGCACAATATAGTGTGTATTATATATATGAATGTATGTGGGGTTTTTTTTTCTTCCCAAATGTCCTACACTTTTTTTTTAATCTTCACCCAAGGACATTTTTTCATTGCTTTGGGCTGCAGGTGGGGGGTGGGGAGAAGAAAGAGAGAGAAAGAAATAGCGATTGGTTGCCTTTCGTATGTGCCCTGAGTCAGGGTCAAACCTGGAATCTCTCAGTCTACAGGATGATGCTCCAACACACACACACACACACACGTGTATATATTTTAAAGGTTTTATTTTTTTTTTAGAGAGAGGGGAGGGAGGGAGAGAGAGAGGGAGAGAAACATCAGTGTGCGAGAGATACATCTATCTGTTGCTTCCCAACCCGGGACCTGGCCCTCAACTCAGACGTGTGCCCTGACTAGGTATTGAACTGGTGACCTTTTAGTTTGCGGGACGACATCCAGCCACTGAGCCACGCGAGACAGGCCTACATGTTTTATATTTCTAAAAAACTTACATTTTCACTGCAGTATATGGGATCTATTTTTCCCCCACACTCTTACTACATTGGATTTCATTTATCTTTGGTTTCTGCCAATCTGTTGCTGAAAAAATAGTATCTCATTTCTTGTGTTCTTCTTTAATTATGAGTGAGTTAGAGCATCTTTTTGTATATTTGCATATCCTTTGTTCATTTTCAATTGGATTTTTAATTGATTTATGCAAGATCTTTATACATTTAAGAAGTTAGCCCTTTGTTGTATGGCTTACACTAGTATTTTTCAGTTTGTTGTTTTTCTTTTTACTATAGATGTACAAGTCTCAAAGAAAAAGAAGAGGAAATTACTCTCTGATGTGAATGAAGGGAAAACTGTTTTCATAAGGTATGCCTTTCTACTTCAGGAACTGCTCTATTTGTGTTGCTATGATAGGTTTCTCTTTTTTTCCTCTCTCCCTCCCTTCATTTTTTCTTCTTCTTTGTCTTGGTTTGTTTGTTTGTTTGTTTGTGTGTTTGTTTGTTTTGGCACTAGTTTTATAAGCTAGGCCAGAAAGTTAGATGCCTCTAAGACCATTAGCACATTTGGGTCTAGGAACATGCCAAACAATGAGAAATGTAGGAGAATCAGAACTCTAGACAGGGTAAATAGCAGGGGTCATCATATCTTGTCTTTATTTAGATTTCATTCCTTGTATTTGGGGTGGCGTCATTTGGAACCAATTAGTTCTTCAGCTACGAGAAATGTTTTGCTTGCTGGCCTTTGCTTTAAGGGGAGTGCTGGAGAGGGCAGCACCACTTTTTTAATGCCTAACTTACCAAACAGTTTCTTTTTCATGCCTAACTTACCTTCTAAAGTAGTGTCTAGAATAAAGGTATCCCATCTGTTCCTAGGGAAACTGAGGGAGGCAGTTGGTTAGAGCCGGGTTTTATTTCATGTTGCCATTACTATTTTAGTCCTACCGACCGCAGTGACTTGGCTCTTGGAGAAGATTGGGATATCTTCAGCGTGCCTCACATCGGCCTTCTTGTTCTTTCCTAAGCGCCAATGTGCAGGGCCATTTGAATCTTATTTTGGAGATGTGTATTTTATCCTCTTGCACAATCTTTTAAGATTGTTTTTCTTATACAAGTCATCTATGTCTAGTATAGGATATCTGGGAAATAAATGTGCAAAAAGACACAAAAAATTAATTTTAATCCCTACTCAGAAAACACCCCCACACATGCCCACATCATCATAAATATTTACAAAGATGAGTTTAGCCTGTATATGCTGTACTGTAACCCATTTTCTTCCTTTATAGCATTCCTCTCCATAATTTCTTTTTACTGTGTTATATGGAATTGCCATATAAATAATTTTGTACTCATCGAGGATTCTGACAGGAAGGAAGAAACATCACACTTAGAAGCCTGTGATCTTATTACCAAGGATACTGTTCTAGACACATCTTTTAAGTGAACAAAGAACTTAGGAAGGTAAAGGCATGGAAGAAAGAAAACTGTGTACATGATGAGCCAAATCAGAAGAAGTGATGTAACTACGACGTGTCTTACTGCAGAACATTTATTTATTTTTTTTTAAATCTCAGTTACTCCATAAGATAGGATTGTTTATGGGGATGTTAACTGAATTTAAGAGAAGTAAAATTGTAGATACTTATTTGGGACTTTTTCTTACCCTGGAAGGCTATGCATAGCTGGGGAAATGAGGACTCTACACTGTGTTGAAATTTAGTAAAACAGAATCTCCTGCCAACATTTTTTAAATCCCATGGAGAGAAATACGTAATTTTCTTTCTTTTTTTTTTTTGCATTTAGCCACTAAACTTTACCATGTTTGTTTTTGAGTTATTTTGAAGGATTTTTAAAAAATTCTTCATTGTTTTCAAAAAATTGCTTTCAATTACAGATGACATTCAGTATTATTGTATATTAGTTTCAGGCACACAGCACAGCGGTTAGACAATTTATGAAGTGATCTGCCCAGTAAGTCCAGTACCCCTGGCCCATACGTAGTTATTACAATATTCTTGACTGTATTCCCTATGCTGTACTTTACATCCCCATGACGGGTTTGTGACAGCCAATTTGTACTTTATAATATTTTCACTTGAAGGATTTTCTAACTTTTGTAAAAGTTTAACTGAAACCTGGATTTAAGAGCAATGCAGAGGAGAAAATGGCTTATCAGATGCGAGACACATTTGACTTTTCTCATTAGTTTACTGTGAGTTGTTTGTTTGTAATAAGGGAAACTAATTTTGGCCAACTTGAGTGAAAAAGCAGGTTTGTTGGATAAATGTTAGGTTGGCTCATAGAATCAAAGTTGTCAAAGAGCAGATCTCAAGGAGGCGGGAAACTCTGATGTGGCTGGGCCCCTTCTCTGAGGATGCCCTGCCATTTTTTTTAACTTCCTAAGGTATTACAGTTTTTATAAAGTACGTTAATCTAAGTGCACAAGTCAGCAAAATTGTTCCTATTTATATATCTGGGCATATATATACATTGACATATACATGTTTACATACGGATGTGTACATGTATTCATGTAACCACTACCCGGATCAAGATACAGAAATTTTCTGCCCCTGGAAGTTTTCCTTGCGGAGAGCACTGCTGTTTGAGGCCAATCTGCAGCTATAACTTCTGGCTTTGTGTATGTCTGTTTAAGTTTTAATTCCTGGGAGAGAATCTGATTGACCAAGAAGGGCAAGGGTCAGAGCCATATATTATATTAGCGGCAGGGCCACCGAAGGTCACCCTTTTTGGTGCTGTTCCTGAACAAGGCAGTGTGGTCATGGGCAGGGGAACCACTGCAGTTGGTGTCTGATTCACTCATTCTGTGACCAGAAGATGGGATCTCACTTTTGCAATTGACCTTTCTTGTGACCTAATTGTCTTCCATAGAAACCTGTCCTTTGACTCAGAGGAAGAAGAACTTGGTGAGCTCCTCCAGCAGTTCGGAGACCTTAAATATGTCCGCATTGTGTTGCATCCAGACACAGAGCATTCTAAAGGTATTTTCTGTTGGATGGTCAGTCCCTAAAAGAGCTGAGGCTGCTGCCATAGCACCGACGAGGTTAGATGAGAACCGAATGTGTACCATTCTGAGGGGTCCACGTTCAGCCCAGGTGTCTGTGGTCCATAGAAGCACCGAGGATGTTCTGAGGTTTTCATCCATGAAAGCATCAAATTCAGCATCTTTCATGCATCTGCCAGCCATAATTTTGTCTAGCTTGTTAGGCCCTTGTTTGATTACTTTAGAGTAATGAATTCCATTTGTTGTTCTTTGAATTTCAAATATGGTAGCATCTCATGGGTGTTAATCAATCCACATTGCTTGACATGAGATGGAAGCTCATAGAAACTTTGTTGCAGTGGTAATAGTCAGAAAGAAAACTATCTAACAGGAATGGTGCCTTAGTTTTTTTCCTCCTAAAGTTATTTCTTTTGAACTTCCAGTGTTGACCACTCATTATTTCAGCCTATTGTTAGGTAAATATCTTTTCAACCCATTCTTAAACTTTGATTTCATCAATTGCAGTCGTTCTCCTAAAGCAGTGAATTCATTCATTTTGATTCCTTTGTGATCTACCAAAAGTTATGAATCCTCTCCTCAGAAAAATGCTACTTCTGAGGGTTTCTGGGCTCCGTGGAGCTTATCTGTGGATTAATAACCTACATTCTAAATCTTCTTATTTTCCAAACTGATGAGGCCTGAGCATTTTTGGGTTTTACTTAGCTAAGAAAGATGTACATAAGGCCGTATGATGGAAGGAAAATGGAACTGCTTCCTGGAGATTAGGGATCTAATCCCAGCTAAGCCATAGAGCAGCTGGCTGATTTTTGGCAAGTCATTTCACTGCTGTGGGCTTCAGTTTCTTATCTGTAAAATTAGTGGGTTTAACAAGAATGATTGCTTAAGGTGCCTTTAATATTCAATTATTCTTCTTGGACCTTCTCCATTTCTAGTATGTTTTTCTAAAAATGGGCAACTAGAATTGCATAGAATGTTCCAGGTGTGGTAGGATATTACTTTACTCTGATGGTCTTTTGTCCCTTTTTGAGTGCATGGTGTATTGTTTGGTATTTTCAGAATGTAGTCTACAGTTGACTTGCTTCAGTTTCTATTTTGGTCTGTTAATGGGAGCTGAGAGTTAATGATCTTAATAAGCATAGTTTTCATATTTATTAATGCATGCCTTTCCCTAGCTCATACTAAATTTTTCTGGTGCTTTTTCTGCATATTCGCTCAGGCAGCCTTGTGTGCCTCCTCTGGTTTACCCCTGTCAGCGAGCCATTTCACTGCCAGGGAGAGCTAAATAGTACCTTAGACATTCAGGGGCGTGTTAAGACCGAACCCTGTACTGACTCTGGAAATTCCAAGTGTAAAATTCTTACCTATTCAGAGAGAAGTACCCATTTTTCTCATATCGGACAAATAGGCTAATCTGCCTATTAGAAACATTTCCCCCCATATTTCTTTATTATTTGTTTCTTCATATTGAATATTAATGTCAGGCATTATGGTAGGTGCTAGGGATAGAGAAGCAGCCAAGAAACATGGCCCTTATTCCGGAGGCATCCAGTCTTTTTGGAAAGGTGCCACCTGACCAGTGCCGTAATAGAGATGTAAGTGAAGGACCGGCAGGGTGGACACTCGGCCTGCCCGGAGGTGGCACGGAAGACCTCACTAGACTGTGCCCCTTGGGTCGGCCTGCCCATGCATTCCTTCAGTTAATGAGCTGCATTCATTCTTCTTCTTTTTTATTTAACCCTCACCCAAGGACATTTTTTAAATTGCTTTTAGAAAGAAAAGGGAGAGAGGGTTTAGAGAGGGGAAAGGGAGGGAGAAATAGAGGGAGAAAAACATTGATTGGTTGCCTTTCCTATGTTCCCTGACCGGTGACTGAACCCTCAGCCCAGCCATGTGCCCTGATTGGGAATCAAACCAGCAGCCTTTTGGTTTGCGGGCCAGGGCCCAACGAACTGAGCCACCCCCACCAGGGCTGCCATTCATCCTTACAGGGGGCAAAAGAGCAGTGCCCCAGTAGCTCTAGGAAATGAAATGTTTTCATATGTGAGGGAATACTAACAAAATATTATGAAATTTATATTTCTTTTTTCTGGAGTTTACCAAAAGGTGAATGTCTTTTTTTTCTTTGCTTATAAAAGCTGCTTTTTCTCAATAGCAGAAAATAGGATGCGCTGATTGACCCTGCATCTAACCAGTGAAAGATGTACCTGTGGAAGCTCTGAAGCAGGAGCTAAGAACTGAGTTCTTGGGTTTCTGGTTCACTGCTATATGCATTTGATAGAGGTCTGGGCCTTTTATTCCAAGAGGCGGGTGTCCCCTTGTCTAATGCCTCCCACGTAACAATGATGACAGGCGAGCTGTAATTAATTTCAGGGTTAAGTGATCGCTGCCTCATTTTCCAAATCCTCTAATAGGCATGCAGTAAGTGATGCTGAATAAAGTGTTAGGCTGGAATTTCTCCAGCATTTCTTGTGGATATTTGTTATTAAGGAGAGAGATGATAAGACTAAAGTTCTAGGAACATTGGGAAAGATGAAAGAAGTAATAAAATTTCATTTGTGAGCAGATGTGCTACTTTACCTGTCTTTGACCCTTTACTGCCTGACACAGTGCCCGTCTCATGAAATTTAACAAAAGGATGCTACCACCCCTTCCACTTGCGTCAGCCTGCCACCGTTGTGTGTTGTCTTTGGCTTCCTGGTGGGCCATGGGAGTTTAGCTTCTCACTTAATTTTGTCTCTCTGTGCAGGTTGTGCATTTGCTCAGTTCACGACTCAAGAAGCAGCTCAGAAATGCCTTGCAGCTGCTTCTCCAGAGACCGAGGTAAGGAAGATATTTCCTTTACCCTGTAATTTAGGCAGTAGTGGTTCCTGGGGCAACATCTGATGTTTCTGTAATAGATAGTAAAGTAATCATACTAAAGTGAACAGTTTTTTAACATTTAGGGTGTCATAGGAGCTCTCATTAGATAGGCACATGCATTGCCTTATTTAACCCTCACATCAGCTTTGTAGGGTTATATACGGTTAGTGCAATTATTATCCCTATGTTATAGGTGAGAACAGGTAGAAAGATGTACCTGATACTTATTGATCACTATCTGCATGTCAGCCTCTGTCCTAGGCTGATGACAAGAAAGACTGGAACAAGAAAGGATTGGGCCATCTATGAGGTGTAGTTAGGTGTTTGCAAGAGAAAGTGTGTGGACGACGCAGATTTTCTGTGTATTCCATAACCAAGTATACATTGTTTTGAGATAGTTATCTTGTATTGTCATTGTCTCTTAAATTTTCTTGAGCAGAGTTAATACTATCATTTCATTAAGGTTCTTTAGATTACTAAAAATTTGCCTGTTTACAGATCATTTTCCTTAAATTGAGCTTCCTTTAGGCCTAATCATTGCCCATAAAATAAGTTATTTACTGCTGACTGCCCTAAGTACACGCATGGCCTTTTACACAGCTGTAGCGAATACTGTTGGCTGGGCCAGCACACTTTGGGGTTGGGTTCCATAGCTTAGTGGGGTCCACTGTTTCCCTTTCCTGGGTGTTCCTTGTCAGGTACCTAGTTTTTACTTATGTGTTTTAAGAGAGAGGGTTGCAATCTGTTAACAGGGTGGTGGGCTGAAACTAGATGGCCGGCAGCTCAAGGTTGACTTGGCAGTGACCCGCGATGAGGCTGCAAAGCTCCGGACAAAGAAGGTGAAGAAGCCAGCTGGAACCCGGAACCTCTACCTGGCCCGAGAAGGCTGTGAGTAGTGGAAGGGAGACGGAAACGAGGCCTCTGGGTGGCTGGCCTAATGCTGTGACAGTGACCCAGCCATGCTGTTTGGGTGCGTGGTTCATATTAAAACCTAAATGTCCACTTTAGCAGGTGTCGCTTTCTTGTGGGAAACCTTTAGCTGATTTATAAATGAACCAGCCTCGTTGCCTTTTCTGCCTGCTGGCCTTTAGACCGCTTCTTCGGAAGACTGGCAGGGCAGAGAGGGAGGAAGAAAGCCGCAAATTACCTTTGCTTCTTGTCATCGTTTTTAAGAAGTGGTTTTCTGAAAGAGTGAAAATTATGACTAAAATTAGTCTTTTGGATATTCATGGATTTAAAGTGTGCAAAGTGCCTTTCCCTTAATGCCAGAAAGATAGTCAGAAATTAGCTTTAATTAAAAAAACAAACAAACATAGAGAATCCCTCCGTCTAGGCCATACAGCCTTCGTCAGCCCACTTGCTGCGCCGCGGCACAGCCTGCACTAGTAACGCTAGGTCGTTAGCCTTTGGTACTAGGCCTCTGTGTGGTGATGCGGCTGTTTTCTGGGTCGGCTTATCTCGCCACTTAGCAGTGGCCCCCAAGTATATGAGAAGATGATGATGTGAAATTCCAAGGGCAGGCTGTAGGTGGAGCATGTTTGCAATCCAAATTCCTAAAATGTACTTATTTTCAGAACTTTCTCTAGACTTTTCCATCTGATGTTGGGCATGCAGATGGCACTTCCTTGAGGGGAGGGAAGGAGAAGAGGAACAAAATTACAAAATGTTCAGAGTGTTAGATCTTGAGAGCAGCTCTGAGCTGAGAACTTAGCCCTGTAGCCTATTTCTGGTCCTTCCCAAATGCCTCTGTGTCCTCGCCAGCATAGTCCTCAGGGCCCTGTACAAAGAGCTTGCATCATTCAAATCACATTCCTCTTGTTGCTCAGTGAAAATTCCCTTGCTGATGTCCTGGCCTTTTTCCCTCTTTCTGCAGTGATCCGTGCTGGGACGAAGGCTGCAGAGGGTGTGAGCGCCGCTGATATGGCCAAAAGAGAACGGGTGGGTAGGTTAGGCATCAGCCTCCAGGGTTTGCATGACTTACTATAAATCAAGGAATAATAATTATTGAATGTCAGTGGTGCTCATCAAAGAGCTGAGTATCGGTGACAAGCCATACTTATACGGTGGTTAGAGAAAAAAGAAGCACACAGGTGAAACAGCAAGTAACCCAACATGATACGAGTATATAACATTCTATCAGCATTATATGCCATTATAGAAACTGGATCTTATTCTTTCTTTTTCTAATGCGCAGCAGTAAATGTTTGCTGAGTAGGGTGCTTGGAAATCATGCAGTAGACAGGCTAGGGCTATGTATTCAGTATAATTAGGTGTCAGTATAAATGCAGGATAACATAAGAAAGGAAGTTCAGAGTAGGCTGGAATGAGTAGGAAAGGAGGTAGATGTGAGTCTTGGGATAGTTATTATGTCTAGTTTGGGGAGGAGCATGATGTCTCCAGATTATAAAATCATTTTTGGAAAACTCCATGTTATGGGAGTTTCCACTGCTAACTGATGCCATTAAATTCCTCTGCTGCTTGGTGATGTCAGTTCCCAGTAACTTGCTTTTGTCCAGATAGCTTACTTTCAAAAAGCTAAGCCAGCCTAGAAGGGTAAAGATGCATAACCGTTAACAGGATTGGCTGTGAAACCTGGAAGTGCCGAAGACGGTGGACAGAGATGAGAGCACACGACCGCAGGAGGCAGGGTGTCTTCTCTGTGTACAACGTCCACCTAGTGTTCTCAGCCTTTTTGGTAGTGAGCATCTGGAAATGATGGTATTTGGGGGCATTATGGCCCCTTTTCTGGTCATAATGCAATAGTGAACGCATTTAATTTTCTCTTAAAACGAATTTTTCTAGCAAAAGCTCACTAGATGATATGCATCATCATTCACAGCAGGCACAGCTTTTCCTGAAAGGAATATCAGACTGTTGAACTTAGGCCTTTTCAAATACTCATTTCCAGAGGATCTGTTTATTTTGTGATTTGCTGGTACCTTTGCCAAACAAGGAGCAGCAGCAGTGAGAAGGCTTTATGATTAATTTAAAACTTTTTTTCTACTAATCTAATTTTAAAAACAAATCGGGAGAAGAATGTCATTCTTTGATTTTAGAGAAGCGGCCCTGGAGCCAGTGTTTGTGCGGCCGGCTTCAGCTCCGTGGTCATGGCATCCCTTTGCCTCAGGGTGGCAGAGTAGAGACGGGACAGTGTTCTCTCAAGTATTCTTTAAATAAAACGCATTTCCTTTTTGAAGGCCTAGGTGGTTTGAGTTGGCAGGTAGATCAGGATTGGGCCTAAATGTTAACTACAGTATTATTTATTATCTATCCTGGACCAAGTTTTGAGGTCAGGATTTTATGTATATTTCCACATTCTGGCCTTGCATCACTGCTGAAAAGTTATATTTTGATCTGCAGTTACACTTCGTAGGTGAAAAGAATTGTGGCTTAAAAAAATTCTGTGTAACTTTTCCAGTGAGGGGTGGATCCAGTCTGAGTCCACCCATGACTCTATCAGCTACCCTTTCTTGCTACTGAACCTTTCTTTCCTTAAGCCGGGCATCCTAAGGCTGCAGCGTGGGTGATTTCTCTCCTTCTTTATGTGTGTAGTTATTGGTTGGTGTCATGATGGTTCCTTCCTTTTGGAGAACTATGAGCCTGCATTTTTAAGGGTAGATTGGACTGTTAACCATTTGTTGTTCTTTCAGTTTGAGCTACTGAAGCATCAGAAACTGAAGGACCAGAATGTCTTCGTCTCCCGCACCAGGCTTTGCCTGCATAACCTCCCCAAGGCCGTGGATGACAAACAGCTCAGAAAGCTGCTGCTGAATGCCACTCGAGGGGAGAAGGGGGTGCGCATCAAGGAGGTGAGAGTTGGCTCTGCCAGCCCAGAACTCTGGTACTCGTCCTCGGTCAGGTCGAGCGTTGATTTTCAGGCTGTGGTGCCAGCAGATTGACAGATTTTCTTCTGGACACATTGCCAGCAGACAGGGCTGAGTTTGGCAGTTTTCATGCCCATTTTTTTTTTCTCTTCTAAGAACTGCTTTTCACATCTGACCAAATTGCAGTAGAATGTGAGGATGTCTCTGCCCTAGTGAAGTATTTTAGCAAGCATTTAATGAATGCCTCCTGTGTGCTCAGCATTATACCAGGTGCTGTAATGTTAATTTTCTTGCAGAGAAAATAATCTGTGTGCTGTGCTCTTCAGAAGAGCATTTTATTACCACTTAACACTCTTAGCCTGTGGTAAGCGTTCTCAGCACCCCGTGGTAAGCAAGGGAGCCACACGAGCCTGCAACACCTGTGTCAGACAGACCCTGGATTCCCACCGAGACGTGGTCAGGCACCGTGAGAACAGAACCTCTCCGTTTCCCCCAGGGTGCCCTCTGCATCCCTCGGTCATAGCGCTTACGGTTACGCTGTCCTGTAATTGTCAGCCATTTCTTCAACCAGACTGAGCTCTTTGAGGGCAGGTGTCATCTCGTTGTACCCAATCCTTGGCATCGTACCTGGCCCATAGTAATCTGTCGATCAGTATTTACTGAAAAAGTAACATGGCCAGTATTATGAATCTGCTTTGCTCTGCTTCATCACTGTACTTTTCCCAACCTCTGAAAGCCTCGCCAAAATGTGTGGCATTGGTGTTTGGGGAATTAGATGAGAGAATGTGAACATAAAGCCATACCTGCCCCCACGCTTGGTAAAACTGTTCAGTGTTACTGGTACAGGGGTCAGTTGTGTTATTCCTGTGTCAGCATCCACCACACTTAATAAGTGTCTACACATTTAAAACCTGTCATTTGGGGACATTTTTTTGTTTTACAATATTTGCATTATATTGAATTTTCTCTGTAATTCTTTCCTAGGTGTAAGTGTAGTGTCTCAGCAAGATTGTAAGCTCCATGAGGACTGGAGCCTCACTTCATGCTTTTCTTGGTTTCCCTGGTAGACAGCACAGTTCTAGGCACTGAGTAGATACTGGACATATACCAAATGTGGCATCCAGTGTTCCTGGTACCTAGACCTGGCCATTAAGTGACAACTGCAGCCTCTAGGAGTAATAAACGATCAGTTTTCCCAGAATTCCTAACTGTACCTCAGTGACCCGAGATACCTCTTGTATTCAGCTTAAGGATTTAGGGAAAGGTCACAGCGGAGGCTGGTTGCCAAGCAAAGACAGCCGAGGCTTCTTCCTGTATTTCTGAGACTGCGTGTTCGGCAGGGCTTCCCCGTGGTGGAAGTGTCTTTCTTATCTAAAGGCACCAGGCCTTCTTCCTTCCTTTCCCCAATTTCCTTTCTGAGTGGTTTCTACAATGATGAGATACAGGGACTACACTTTATCCTCAGTGATAACTTAGGATAACAGACAACTCCAGGTACCATGGGCCTGTCAACCTGTTTGTATTATCAATAGTTAGCGATTATAGTTTCTCCTTGGCAAATTTGTTTTGTATGCATGCTTATTTGTAGGTTGGCATTAAACTCTTAGAAAGCATGAAAATACCAATTTAATTTGTTCTGTGCTCTCAGTAGTTGTGTTCTATCAAATGAGACAGTCACAGGTATGATTGCAGCACGACTCTTGCGGTGATCGAGTTGAAGAATCTGTGCCAATAACCTGATTTCTTATTGAATCTGTTATGGCCCCTCATCCGGTAATTACCGATTCTTTTTCTTCTTCTACGCATAGTGTAAGGTGATGCGAGACCTCAGAGGAGTGCCTGGGAAGGTGAAGGGTCAATCCCTGGGCTACGCCTTCGCCGAGTTCCAGGAGCACGAGCACGCCCTGACAGCCCTGCGCCACATCAACAACAACCCGGCCATCTTCGGGCCTCAGAAGGTGAGCCTCGTCCTGAGGGGAGAGCTGTTCCCCTGAGGACCACTGGCAGGAAACCGTTCCTCTCCTTTGTGTCTGGTGCCCTCTCTGACATTTGAGTGATGGGAGAGAGTACCAAGTCGACGGAGGCAATGAACAGTGACTCGGGTAATAAAATGATTGGCAGGAGCTCTAAATTGGATAGGCTGCTCACACAACTAGCCCCTTACCTTTAAATAAAGTCAGTGAGGAACCACCTCTGCCTTGCAAAAAAAAAAAAAAAAAAAAGGAGGGCAGTGGTGGGGGCCAGCTCAGTGCATTGCACTCAGAGGTCAAGAAATCTAATGAATGACATTCTGTCTTCTGATGCAGAGACCAATAGTGGAGTTCTCTCTGGAAGATCGAAGGAAGCTTAAAATAAAGGAACTGAGGATGCAGCGCAGCCAGGTACAGAACTGAAATGTTTGTTGTTGTTTTTTTAATTATGGTTCATAACACATAACAAAACTTAACTATTTTTAAGTGTACAGTTCAGTTAAAATGATTTTTAAAGACCATGTTTAAGCTTCTGTTTTGTTCAGTTTGTGGTTCTATCCCCTTGAAGTAGCTCTCTCTACTCAGTAAGTTCCGTGTTACCCTTTACTTTCAGCTCCCCAGAACTCTCCAGGCCTCTGCTCCTCTGCTGGCCTGTCTTGTGGTAGGTCCACAGAAGGGAGCGGAGGGAGGAAAGAGAAGCAGGCTGATGTTATTCCCAATCAGCAGTCCTTGTACGGTGCTTGGTGATGGTACTTATCAAATTGATGACCAAGATTAAAGATTGCATTACCTGTAGGTTTAGCTATCTTTTTCGTAAATCTTTTTTCTTTTTAGATGGCTCCAGAAATGTAATGCTTGATAGTTTCAGTACTGTTTTTAATCTAGTGTGATATAGAGGAAAGAACAGAGACTTTGGGAACAGGAATACTTGTGTTCAAACTCAGCCTGTCCTGCTTTCTGAGTTCCTCGGCAAGTTACTACTTTCCTCCGCTTCATTTTCTAGTTTGTAAAATGGGATTAACAGTGTCCATCTCACAGGCTTGATGAGGATTAAATGAGTTAACACATGTAAATTGTCTCGCATGCGCATGGTCAGCACACAGTTGATGCTCATTCTCTTACCCATCTTCCCCCAGGGCATGTAGGACCAGACTGTTCTTGACACCAAAGCTCTTAGAGTTGATATTGCTCTTATACCTTGGCTTGTATATACACCAACATCTGCAGTCTTTGTGGTGGATAGTGTGAGCGTGACCAATGAGGGAGCGGGTTCAGTGGTTAATACACTGCCCTGGGTTGGAAAACCTGGGGTCGGGTTCTTGTTGAAGGCAACTTTGTTATCCTAGGTCTGTGTACTGCCTTAAGTCATTGCTTCAGGTGATTCTGTAACTGCTGACTTAAAGCAAAGAACAAAAACAACCAATTCACATGGTTTATCTGTTGCCCACATTTAGATTCATACTGCTTTTTCTGTTTAAAAGTGCCCCTGCCACTTTACTCAGGTTCCATATTTGTATCAAATGTACTTCCTCAGGTAGCATTTTTCCACCTCTCTCAAACTAAGATCTCATTTTTTGTACCTTCATGAACTACCTTAAACTCTCCTTCAGTTTTTTCACTCTGCTTTATTTGTGTGTGTGTGTCTCTCGCCTCCGTTACCCTGTGAGTCCTGAGAGGCAGACGCTGCTCTGCGTCTGTGCCCTCACCGCTTAGAAGTGGAGCCCGGCACGTAACGGCGTGCACTAGGTCTTTGTGTATCAATATGTCTGTCTCGATTTTCAGGTGAAAAGTCACAAATGACGACATTAATTTCATGTGAATCTTCTTTTTCTTTTTCCACTTAAGTGCAACATAAATGTGTACCATCCTTTATGCATTTCTTTGTCCTCTTCATGCTTGCTTTATGTAGATTCGAGTTTCTAACCCAGGTCATTTTTCTTCTCTGAGGAAATTCATTTAGCGTTTTTCGCAAGGCATATCTCCTGGTGACAGATTTCTTTAAATTTTGTTTATCTGAGAAAAATCACTATTTTTCTCTCACTTTTGAGGGATAATTCCATTGGACATAGAATTCTGGGTTGGTGATTCCCTCCCACCCCCCACCAAACTTTAAGTATTTAACTCTTTAAGTATTTCTCTGCTTTCTGAAGAGAAATCCAATGTACTGTTACCTTTGTTTCTCTGTGGGTAAGGGATTCCCCCACTCTGGCTTCTTTCAAGAATTTTTCTTTATCTTTGATTTTCTGCAATTTGATATAATATGCCTAGATGTAGATTTTTTTGGTATTCATCTTGTTTGTTATTTGTGGAGCTCCCTGGATCTGTGGTTTAGTATCTGTTATTAATTTGGGAAAATTCTCAGCCCTTACGACTTCAAATATTTCTTCCGTCTCCTCCTGGTATTCCCACTATACATCGGTCACACCTTTGGCAATCGTTCCATGCCGCCAGCCTTTTTCTTTTCTCACCGGCTTTTACATCTTGTGCGTGCATGCACTTCCCCCCGTTTCTGCACATGGAAAAGGAAATGGTTATTTTGTGCCCCCACCCAGTAACCCTTTGTTACTATATTAGGGCCTGTGAAGTATGTGTATTCACTTTCCTGTAGTCTCTGTCTTTTGGAGTCAGTTTTTCCACCAAGCTCACAAGAAGCTCCTCTTGAGCCGAGTGTTTTCAGCATATAAACCTCATTCAGAAACCAGATGGTGATCTCTTGTTTATGCAGCAAAAAGTGAAATCCAAGTCCACAACTGGTGAGCCCCAGCAGAAGCAACGGGAGCTTAGAAAAGGCCAGAAACAGAAAGCAGATCAAAACCACACACGAGAACAAAGCCAGGCCTCCCCAGAGCAGAAGGGGAAGGAGAAGGGGAAGGTGGGCTCTACCTCATGGTCAGGATTCCAGACCAAGGCTGAAGTGGAGCATGTGGAGCTGCCTGATGGAAAGAAGAGAAGAAAGGTGCTGGCACTGCCCTCACACCGAGGCCCCAAGATTAGGTGAGATGCAGGATGGCGGCATGGGACAGTGGGTGGCCTCCGAGAGGGCTTGATTTTGCTTAGCCCTTTTCCTCTTTGTGGCTTTTGTTTGGATGACCAGGATGCTTAGTGCTGTGCCAGTCCCGCATTTTCAGGGTTAAAGCATAGGCTCGCTGGGGCCAGAACATGCCTTCGGGGAGAGGGGAGATGCGGGGAGATGGGGAGATGCGGGGAGATGGGGAGATGCGGGGAGATGCAGGCAGGCTTTCAGGCTTTCGTGCCACTTCCTGCTCTCCTCAAGAGCCCCCTGCTGTCCGGTGGCGGCCTGTCAGCTGAAGCGCCACCTACTTGAGGTTCCCCTGCTGTTTCTGTTGGGGCAACAGTTTAGTGCTATGAACAAAAGTCGATCTTTAAGAAAATACCTGTTAAATTAAGGTTTTTTTTGAAATTCCCTTGAGGTTTTAAACCAAAACAAAAACTGAATATACAAATGTTGGGCCTTAGGACACTCTGTTGCAGTGTCCTTTTTTAGAATGACTTATCATGGGCCATAAAAGGCCAGTGTAAGAAGACGCATTTTATCTTCCTGGCCGAGAGAACCTCAGGAGTACCAATTAGAGGAAGAATTTGGGATGACACTTGACCATTTTGTTCTAGGTTGAGGGACAAAGGCAAAGTGAAGTCTCTCCCTCCCAAAAAGCCGAAGCCCCAGATGAACCAGTGGAAGCAAGAGAAGCAGAAATTATCCTCCAAGCAGGTGAGTCTGCAGGGCAGAGGCTTTGGGATGACAGGCTCTGCTGGGGCCGGCAGTGACTTTTGTGCCTTGAGCTGTGGAAAAAAGAAAAGTCTTCTAGATTGCAGCCAAGTGTGGGACTGCAGCTTGTTAGAGGGCATTGCGGGGCAGTCCTACAGGTGGGGAGAGGAGGAAAATAGGCCCCCCACGTATCAGTTACTGCGCTTGCTCAGTTATCCTGTGTTACCTATCCCCCATACACACGCTCTGCCCCTAGAATATTAGCATAAACTCTATTTCACTTGTAAAATGTCCCTCATGTGGAAATGTTTATTGCTTCGAAAAATACCTTAAAATGCATCTCCAGGACTTAAACACACAAACACACACATAGTCATTTCACATCTAATGAAATTAATAAGAAACCTTAATGTTGTCTAATACACAGCCCATATTAAAATGTCCCCAATTACCTCAAAAACATGTTTTATAGTTGGTTCGTATGAATCAGGATTCAAAGTCCACATATTAATTTGGCTTTTATATCTCTTGCATTTTTTCCCTCTAATATCCAGTCTTCCTCAATAGCCTCTTTTTTTCTCACGCTGTTAATTTATTGGAGAACTAGGTCGTTTGCCTTTTAGAATGTATGACATTTTGAGGTGAGCAGCTTCGCCTCCCTGTGGTGTCATTTAACTTGTTAACTTGTTCCTGTAACACCATGTATTGTCTATACACTGGTAGCTAGATTCAGAGGCTCGATTAGATTCAAGTTCGGTTTTCTTGGCCAAAGTAATTCATAGGTAATGCTGTGACCTTTCTGCTGCATCATATCATAAGGCATCTAATGTCTGGTTGCCCCATCTTCGGTGATGCTCAAATTCATCACTAGATGAGGGATTGTCTACCTTATCCTTCTGTTTGTAAAGTCTCCCATCAGCCTCTCACCTCATGGTTTTAGCACCGTTGAGGATTGCTGTCTAGATCCATTCTTTCAGTATGGGTTGCAGGATGGTGATTTTCTAATTTTATCAATCCTTTTGCATTTTTTAGTAGAATTCTAGAAAAAAAAAAGAATTTTCAACATTTTGGTTACCACAAAATACCGTTTGTAGAGGAAAGGCAGGATAAATGTTTGATTTTTTTTCCCCTCTTTATCAGTTTCCAGAATAATGAGATGATGTCCTGTCGACCTCCTATGGGGACCAGTAAGATTTTACAGTATTACGAATCCCTGAGTCTTTATATAGGTGATGTGTTTCCATCACATGCAATCATTACGCCATGGTAGGCCAGCAGAAAGCACTGTCAGGTGGACTCCCAAGTCTTTGTGAGATGGCCCTGTCCTAGTGTCCTTGCTTTTAGTACAACCAGATGTCCCAGCTCATCGTGCATATTTCTCCCCTGGTCCTGGCATTAGCCATTTTTCCAAGGAGCCCGAGTTCCTTTTAGGAGAAAATAATAGTCCTAAGTTCTTGAACATTTGAGGTCAAGCTTGCTTTCCCCTGCCCCCGCTCCCTTTCTTTTAGGGCACAGGAAGCATTTGTTTCCTATCATTCTCAAAAAATCTGTGTGTCTGCAAAATCTCAGACTTACTCGCACTGTCTTATAAAACTGTCCCCAGCATCCCATTAGCAGAGTTCTTGGTGAGGGGAAAGGCAGTGAAAACACGCCAACTCCCGGCGGAACTCGCTTGTGAGCTTGTGAGGAGGTTCGGGCGGCCGTCGGGTGCAGCCTCTGGCGCAGCTGAGCAGTGTTGCGGGGGCCCCTCCCTCGTGCGCCCCTGGCCTGACTTCCGACCATTGGACGGTGCTTCTGTGCTGGTGTTTCTCTCCAAGGGTCACTCTGTGGAGTCCTCGCCCTGTGGTGGACAAGATCTCTGTACCTACTTGTTTTCTTTCTTGGGTGGCCTTAAGGTAAGGGGATATTTACTGCTTGAAATGGACTTGTTTCTTTACTCTTTCATTTGTAGGTACCTAAGAAAAAAGCTAAGGGAAATAAGACAGAAATTCGCTTCAACCAGTTGGTCGAACAGTATAAGCAGAAGTTATTGGGACCTTCGAAAGGAGCGCCTCTTGCAAAGAGGAGCAAATGGTTTGACAGCTGACGACGCCCGCAGACTGGATGAGAAGCTGGATTGTGTGCGTCTTGGTAAAGCTCCCTGGCTCCTTCCTGCCCCCACCCCCAGCCGTGTCTGTACTGAGGGAAAGAAAGCCCCCGAGTGCACCGCCAGTTTGTTGGGGGGCTCCCTGGGATACACACATCTGGACTTTGTGTGTGGGTAGTTAACCATAAAGAGAAAATACCAGAAAAACATTGTGATCCTTGCACATTATCTGGATTATCATGTGAAGTTGTGTCTGTAATTGCTACCCATTTTAATTCTCTGTTTCTCAAATGGAAACAAGTGTAAAATGCATTCTTGAGTGCCGAATTTTTAAGATGTATATTTTAAGTGTCTTCTCTAAATAATATATTTTGTGGCTTTTTGAAAATCAGACTCTCATTTCTAATATATGTGAATCCTTTATTATTTATGAACATTTTTGACATCCCCAACTCTAATTCAGTTACAGAGGCCTACGTACTGCAGGAACTGATTAAGATAGAGCAGAGAAAAATGATTTCCAACCTAATCTCTGAGGGTGGGAGAAACTGGAAAAGTAATTGAGGGCAGGGGGCCCGGCAGGTAGCAATATGTGATACCTGCTTGCCAAATGAGGGGGCTGTTGTTGGCAGTGGACAAGATATCAGTTTGCAGTGGTCCACAGACACTAGTCTGGCTGGTGACAATCCGCACTTTCTATCACTCAGTGCCTCCGCCTGGCGACTCAGAGAGGGAGGGGGAGGCTGGCAGGGCAGTGAGCTGGAGGCCTAGGCCGCAGCCCCACCTGCCTTAACCTAATGGACGGCCCGGAACCAGACGCAGACTCTCTGGATCTTACTTTACTCGTCTGTGGAAGGAGGAGTTTAACCAAAGGCTTTGTGTGTACCTTCCCGGCTCTAAACTCTATTATTTATGCGTGTTCATATTCTTTCTCTTATTAACCTCAGAGAAGGTAGAGCTGACTTTCATTACTTTTCAGAGTTTACGGTGTCACAAAAGCTGGGAGGGATGGTGAATATTAAGAGACTCAAGGTCCAGAAAGATCACGGTAGCCTCGAGGGATGGACTGGACTACGTTCGATAAGATGAAAATCACAGGGAACAAACATAAATTTCCTCTGGTGGGAGAGTTTGAGGCGGTAGGTTCTGCATCATGAAGAAAGAGCACCGCTGCCACAGTGTAACAGGCTGTCTTCGCGGAGCTGGGATGTCTCGGGTGAGCTGCCTGTTCTCTGAGCCGGCCAGACCGCGCCTGTGAGACCCGTGTAATGAGGAAGTTGGTCAAGAATTTCACAGTATCAGATGGAAACTAAATTGGTCATGAGTTGGTTGTTGTTGATCATGGGTAAATAAAGATTCATTAAACCATTCTCTTTTGTGAACATTTGAAGTTTTCCATAATAAAACATTAACAGCCAGATGAGTAACTGCTATTCAATCTGCTTGAGAAGAGAATTCGTGTGGTGTAGTAGCTGTTGGTAGAGCCCAGAAGTGTTAAGGGGCAGATGATTAAAAGGCAGAAGGACTCAGACTTGGGTTCAGTATAAAGAGGAACTTTAACGCAGGCGGGGCAGCCTGAGTGTACATGTAGTAAGGCTATCAGGTCCCGGGGACTCCAGCACCGGGGGACCGGGCCAGAAGAGGTGCTCAAGGTCAGTCAGCTCATTATTGTTTGGTCCCGAGTTGACTCACTATGCCTCATGTCTTCCCCCAGTCCCCGAGGCCCCTTGAGAGGAAACGTGATTCTCCGTGTAGTGCCCTTCATGTGCTTGGTCCCCCTAAGTCTGCGCTGTGGCTGCGACGGCTCAGCTCCTGCCTCGCACCCTCCAGTGGTGTCTCATCTCGCCTTTTTTTTTTTGTTTTTGTTTTGAGGGATAATGGACATATGATATGGGTTGTAGGCATGCAGCATAATGATTCAGTATTTATATATTACAAAATGGTCATCGCAATTAGTTAACATTTGTCACCACACATAGTTAGAATTTTTTTCCCCTCGTGATGAGAACTTTGAGGATCTATTCTCTCAGCAACTTTCAAATTTTCAATACACTGTTATTAACTATAGTTTATTTTATAAGTGGAAGTTTGTACATTTCGACGCGTTTCTTGCCTCCCACCCCAACCACCAGTCTATTCTTTACACCTATGAGCTTGGGGTTTGTGTGTGTGTGTGTGTGTGTGTGTGTGTGTTTTAAGATTGCACAGGTAAGTGAAATAATACTGTGTTTGTCTTTCTCTGAATTTATTTGACATAGCATAGTGCCCTCAGGGGCCATCTGTGTTGTCACAAGTAGCAAGGTTTCCTTGTTTTTTATGGGGGAATATTATATATATATACATTTTCTTTATCCATTCATTTGTTCTCATCTTACTGTGATCGAAATGTGCATTTTTCCTCAATGCATGCAGCGCCCTGGGTTCTCTAATCCCTGTCACCTCTCCTACCTAGTCTTACCCACTCCCTCCCTTTCGGTCATTTTTGGCCACACAGGCCTGTCTTTGGCTCATTTGACCCTTTCCCATCTCAGGCGTTGCTGTTTGTCGTCTTGGCCTGGAGAGTTTTTGCTTATTGCTCAGATCTCCACCGAGCTGTCACTGCCTCCCGGAGCTGTTCCCTGACTAAAGTAGGACTTTTCTTCCCCTCCCGTCTGTCCTGCCAGCACTGAATTCTATTACTCTGTTTATTATTTTTTTCCTGGCACTCATCTTTACCTGCAGGTACTTATTTCTTGTGATCGGAATGTATTGTGACAGGAACTTATTTGATCCTGTAGACACAGTACCTAGAATTGAGCCTGGCACATACTAGGTATTGAGTAAATATTTTTTGAATGAAAAAAAATAAAAGGGTAAAGGAAGAAACAGTACTCGGTGGGCCCGAGAAAGAGTTAAATATAGCCCAAAGTTCTTGATTCCCTAGTCCAGCCTAGTGTTACAATAAATGATGCTTTCTTCAGAGCTATTGCTGACACAGGGATATGGCTACTTCATTGCAGTACCTTGGGAAACCAATGAACAAAAAATACCCTTAATTGGTTTAAAGATGGATAAAGCAGAGACTATTGAAAATATTTAAACCTTTTGGAGAGAACTAAAGGACAAGGGCTTTATCTCCAGTTACCTTGAGACAGCATGACTTGGGGAGTTTAAAATGTTCTTGCAATAACTTGGCAATGCGACATCTCTCCCAAGTCTGTATGCTGTGGAGGGGGTAAGATACTTAATTAAAAATATACATGGGATATTCACAACCTGCCTGTCAGTTGATCTGTTTTCCCTTGGCCAACTCTGGCTGCTCAACAGACACTTTTTACTTGGTATACAAATATTTGTAAATTAACATTCAAAAACAATATTTAGGATAGATGAAAATCAGTGTTCATTCCAATAGCTTTGCCAGATTTTCTTAGATCTAGATATTTCTTCTGTCAGCTTTAGCAACCCGGAATGTTTGAAACATTCAGCTGCTTGGAATGCTCTTTTTTAAAAGTAATAGGGCAAAATAGCCACTTTCTCCCCAACCTGGTTCCCTGTGTGGCGTCCTTCGCACCTTACTTTAGGTTATCTGGGCAGCCCCACGTCCCCTTCCCGGGGGAGCAATAAAGCAAGGAGAGTTGTGCTCACTTACGCACTTCAGAGACTGGCATTTCGTAGATTAAACATGAAGGTGGAGGTACAGACTGCTTGGTTAAAAAAACAACCACCTTTCTGTCAACATCCAAGACTGAAGGCCATCAATAAAGACTATCACGTTTCAGTAGTATTTTCCTGTCTGGTCACACAGTGGTCTGGCTCAGACACATTTCCTTTAAATTAAGAATCTTAAGGTCGTGCGCTTGCTGTTCCTTTGTGGGGGGTGTTACCGGACAAAGTGGAATTTGGCTGCCTGCCGCCGAACTCAAGCTTAACACAAGATTGGTGGGGAAGGAAAAATGTCCTCATTAAAAGGTTGCCCAATTTGGGGGAGCTGGGGGCTCCCCAGCTCCAAGCCATTCTTTTCTGCAGAACACAGAAAGAAGCCAGCCACCCCCAGGACCAGAATCATTGTCCGGTCACCTCGCTCCATTGTTACTGTCCTTCTGGGAGCCCAAGGCTGTTGCGCGCACAGGTCTGTAGTCTCGCCATCCCGGGCTCCCTCTCTGGGGGGCGCACTTGTGGGACCGAGGTCTCCGTTGCGTCGCCGCAGCTTCCCCCTCCGGGAGCCGGGTGCACTGCCACAGGACTGCGGCCCATCGCGCAGGGCGCTCCGTCTGTGGGGCCTCGGTGTCCAAGGCTGCTCGCGCCCCCGGGGCAGCGAATGTTTCCGGTCCGCAGGTCTGTGCGCTGCTCTCAGAGGGAGAGAACGGGAGCAGCCCCGACCTTGCCCTGAGGCACGCGGCGGCAGCAAGCTGCGGCCCGCCATTGGCGAGGTGCGCGCCCGCGTGCAGGACTCGGCCTCCACGAGCCGGCTCCTGACCTGCTAACAAGGGGAATGCACAAAAGGGGACGAGTTTCCACGTGCCCTCCGTTTTAAATCTTCCCCTCCAAAATCCCACGTGAGGCGGAAGTGTCCAGATTCCCAGCCCGTCTGGGCTGGCGTCCACCGCACTTGCCGGCCTGCACAATGTCTCTGCCTCTCCTGCCGCCATGATTCGGAAGCGGTGGAAGCGGGTGGGAGAGGTTTTAGCCATGCACAGGGGCACAGCGTCTCTGCCCAGGGCAGGGTGTCACCTCCATGATACATGTGACCTTTTCAGTTTGTGCATATGCTATGCAAACTTCCTTCTGCTGGGTCACAAGCCTCCTTAGTTGTTTACCCTTCCCCTTCCCCAGGGGTATGGGCACCTGCGTGTGGTTTCAGCTGCAGCTTCAATCCTCTGCCTTTGGCACTTTCCGACACCTCTCCAGTGTCCCTCCCCTCTGCCCAGCCATGTGGCCAGACCTCTGTTACAGGGGTTGTGTGTGTGTGTGTGTGTGTGTGTGTGTGTGTGTGTGTGTGTGTGTGTGTTTTGGCTACTTGGCAGTTTTGAAGAACCGCTCCCTGCTCTGATCCAGGACGTACAGTCCCTCCTTTAGACCTAATGTGCAGCAAGATTTATTCAACTGTCTTCACATGCGATTTGCAGCTTCTGTTACAGAGTTAAGGCATATGAGTTCATTGTTCAAAACCACTTCCAAACATCCTTTGGTATGTGTTTGCCTTGAAAGGAGGTTTTCCAATTAAAAATTCAGAGCCCGGAACCTCAAGACTCAAGGCAACCCCCTTCTCACCATGTATTTGGCCTTCACTCATCTGAGGAAGCAGGGGGTCAAATACGCTATAATGAGTGCTGACTGTCAAGAATCTTACTCACATAGCCAGTTCCGTGTGTAGTACGCCTGCAACTCCCTTTTTGTGAAATGACTGATGGGTATCTGCCCATTGGCATATAAGTTGCAACTCTGCCCATGCAGCGTGGAAAGTTCTTAACGTCTCTGTAGACTGTTCATGGCAGTAGCCACATCATCAGACGGAGGATGCCTGAGATACGTTTGTATTTCAGTTTGTCTCAGATGATGCTCCACTCCTGCTTTCTCCCACTCAGCCCTACCTGTCCCTTCAAAGGGCCAGGATTAGGTTGCTTCATTTCTCTCAGGCCAAGACAAGACTGCCTTTTACTTGGCCTGAGAGAAATAGCCCAAGGTTGGCTCATTGAGAAATTAACCACGTGCGTTGCCTCATATTGCTGCTTTCACTCCTGTCCTCTTCCTTCGCAGAGTTAATTCAGGTGTTATTCAGTGGCCCAGCTGCAGGGAAGTTATAGGTACATCTGCAATTACTTTGGCTTCTGATTCTGAACTGGTATTTGGCTGCAGACAACCCTCTGCTGTGGAGGAATATACTGGGAAGAATATGAAAGGCACGAGGCTGACTGAGCCTGGTAATCAATTCTGAGAAGAAAACTGCAGAGTCACTGACACCTTTTGGACCATCCCCAAGTGGAGCACCTTGACAGAGGGTAAACCCACTCTTCTTTGGACCGGTCCATGCTGTTCAGAGTGTGCTGCCTTTTATCAGACATAGGACTTCACTGCCACAGAGTCACCTGGAATCTCCTTCACAGGCCATTTGACAGAAGCAAAACCCTCTCTGTCCTTGAGGGCAGGGACTACATTTTAAACTTTTTGGCACACCTTGCAGTTCTTAACAATGATTTACACATAGTAGGACATCATTTAATTCCATTGAACTCACTGAAGGCCATCTGTCCCAGGGCTGAGCTGGGCTTGTGAAGGACAGCAGAGTCACTTCCTGAGGTGATGTATGTGAAAGGGCTCTGAAACACAAAATGGTAAGAAAAATAAACTGCTGGCCATGCTC